ATATATATATATATATATATATATATTTGAATTCATATATATGTATGTATAATATATATTTGTTATGTATATATATAATATATATATACATAACAAATATATATTATACATACATATATATGATTTTTTCAATTAAAATCCAAATTTCCAACCGATGTCCGTTGGAATTCGGTTGGAATTTTTTTTAAAAAAATTTCCAAAAAAAATTCCAACCGGCATCCGTTGGAATTCCGTTGGAATTTTTTTAAAAAATTTTCAAAAAAATTTCCAACCGGCATCCGTTGGAATTCCGTTGGAATTGTTTTCTAACAAACATCCGTTGGAACTCCGTTAAAAATTTGTAACCGATTTTTCCAACGTTAATCCGTTGAAAATTTCCAACGGATATCCGTTGGAAATACCGTTGGAAATTTCCAACCCAATTTTTCAATTGAATACGTTGAAAATTCCGTTAAAAATTTCCAACGGGTGTTTCCAATGGATACCCGTTGGAAATTTTCAACGGAATTTTAACGGAAATCGTCGTTGAAACGCCGTTGAAAACCGTTGAAAATCTGTTGGAAATTTTCCAACGGACAAATCCGTTGGAATTCGAGGATTTTTTTGTAGTGAGATTCGAATCTTTCTTACGTGTTGAGCCACTCATCTTGGTTATAGATATGGTTTTTGACTAAAGATAATAAAAAATGGAGATGGCAGAAGAAGTACACAAAGCAAAAGAAGGGAAGAAATCTGAAAGAACAGAAACACATCTGAGAAAAGCCTGAAATGAACTTCCACTCCTGGTTTGATTTTGTTGGGATTCACACCCTTTTATTTTATGTATTTACCCTTTTTTTTTTCTATTTGCTAGATGGTCCATCTTTATATATATATATATATATGCATATATACTGTATCATTAGCACTAAATAAGAATTACAAAACATATATGTAATCAATAACTAAACTTATTCGATATAACTCTATCTCTAATAAAACTAAACGCAGACATGTCATGTTATGTGACGTTTTGTAGTTTGTGTTCCCGGCAAAGATCTACCGTGCAGCTTTCTTATGTTCCTATAAGTTCTGTAACACAATGAGATTCCATTTATATTTCATAAAAAAAAATCCTCGAAATTTAATAAGTGGGACCATCTATACACACACATATATATACACACATAACGCATGTCTCTTTGAATCTTCTCGTGGCTTTCGTGATTTCCCAATTATTAGGTTCTTCGAAAATCATTGAGGAAATAATGTTGTTGAGATTTTCCTGGTCTACTAAAATCCACCTAACGTACAATTTAGACTTAATTATAGTCAGCCCAATAAACACGTTTTGCAACCATGCACCATTATATATATATATATATATATGCATGCATGGACTCCGAATAACACTTCAAACGTAAGTTGTATAAAATAATTAGCGATTCATTTTTATCAACTTATTAAAATCGTAATCTAACTGAGGAAAGAACTAAGAAAATGCGGCGCACTGTAAATTTCATCACGGTCATTGTCGTTTTACACGTTCTAACCAGTGTATATTCGTTATTCGATATTACTCTCAATGACATGACATTAAATTTTACCAAAAAGGCAAATAACGGACCGATTAAACCATAGTATTTATCCTAAACGTTGCATGATGTATGTTGTAAAACGATTTACATGATAAAAGAATGTGTGGTCGGTCGACCATTGAAAAATATACAGTGGCCCACTTGTGCTTGGGAGATATAGAGTTTGATAGCTATATCTATACGTACAGTCTATGGTAGAGTCATCATCCATATAATCTGTTCTCTTCTGTTTTCTGAAGAGTTACCCATCTGGCCCTTTTTCTTTCTATCTAGGTTTATTTTTCAGTTTCATTTACTTAATTTCTCCATTTAAAAAAAAAAATTGTTGGCTTCTATAAATCCATGCACGTTTATTAAGGAATTGGATTTTTTACATAACAATATAGAGAAGAAGCCACACAATCTCTTCTTCGTCTCTCTCTCTCCCCGTTATCTCTGTCTTTAATTAGCCCTCCTTCTTCTTCTTCTTCTTCTTCTTCTTCTTCTTCTTCTTCTTCTTCTTCTTCTTCTTCTTCTTCTTCTTCTTCTGCCTAATCCTTCCATAGTCACCAAAGAATAGGAAGGGAAAAGGAAAAGGATCTCTTGTCTAATTTCTCGTAGGGTTAATATAGAGCTAATGGGTATGAGCAAAGTTTGATTCTTTCTGCTATGGTTTGGAGCTTCTGGGTTTCAAAAAGTTTTGCCTTTTGATTTTGTTTATTGTTGTTTCTTTTTTCTACTTCTTTTACAGATGGGTTCTTATAAATCTTGATGAAACCCCGTCCGGAGCAAAAAAAAAAAAAAAGAGTTTTAATTTCTGCTTCTCTTTCTGGTGTTTCTAAAGATAAACATGGCTAGGGATTTCTATGCTTCTGGAGAGATTTTGTCCTCCAATCACCCAGCAACAAGCAATACGCATCATCATGAGTTCTTTAATCAGATCCATGGATTTGATGATGACACAAACCCATCCAATCATCATCATCAGCATCAGATCTTCAGCTTGAACCCAAACGCGGGCTTGATACACTTTTCCAAGCAACAACACCATAATCATCATCATCATCATCATCATCATCAGATAAGCATGACAAGTGGGCTTGAGGAGACAAGTGGAGGTGAGAATCTGCTCATGGAAGATTCTTCATCATCCATGAGATGCAGTAACGTTAATTTTCCGTGTGATATAGTGAGTGAAGAGAGACCACCGACGATCACAGCCACAAGACCACAAAGCCAATGCCTTTCTCTTTCTCTCTCTCCATCCAACCCTTCAAGCATCAGCCTCCAACACTTTGAACTCAGACCACATGCCCAACACGACCATGTCACAGTTGTCGGTTCTTCACGACAAGGGTATTTTGGGAAACCCCACCACAATCTCCAAATGATGATGATGATGATGATGATGAACAACAGCCCTAATCAACATCATCACCAGAATGAGTTCCAGATATTGAGATCAAAGTATCTGGCTCCTGTTCAGGAGCTTCTTAATGAGATTTGCAGCCTCGGAACAAAGCAAAGTGATCATGAAGAGATGACGATGAAGAATCAAAAGGGGGAAGAACAAGAGTGGGGAGGTAATAATGATGACAAAGATAATCATCGTCATGATGATGATCTGTCAGCAAGAAAACATGTTCCACCACTTCACTCTCTCGAGTTCATGGAACTGCACAAGAGGAAAGCCAAGTTACTCTCCATGCTTGACGAGGTACGCAACTACGTACACTCACAAAGGATATATATATATATATATATACATATATGATTTACTAACACTTACTATATCATAAAATTCATGGGTCATTCAAAGATCTTATCTTTTCAATTGATATATATATATATATATATATAAGAGCTTCGGACCAAGGAACAAGTTTTTTGTTTTGTTTAATATACGTACAAATTATATAAATATAGCTATATATTGTTGTTAAAAAATTTTCAAATTATTATTGTTTGATCGAAAACGAATCCTTGCTTTTGTTCGTTTCGAAACCTAAACATCTCTTGTAGTTTCTCTATTCTTAGGGTCTATTAGACCTCAACTACGTATCAAAAGATTCTTTTGTTTCTGTCTCCATGTCTATATTTTTTTACCCTCTAACAAATTTTTCAATTTTTTTTTTGTAGAAACAAAAGAACATATTTCTTAGGCCAAGAACACTTGTTATTTTTTAATTTAATTGCAAAAACGAAAAAAACAAAGAGAAGAAGAAATAGTGCCCTTTCCCCATGTTTTGACACGTCGTCGTATTGCCATCAAAATTAATCAACACGTAATTTTTGTTTATCTTTAATTTTTTCTGTCATCTAACTTAAATCGGTGGCTTATGGCTCCCATATATATTAATAGCAATCAATAAATATCATAACAACGCGTTTTCATATGAACCGACGGTGCAGATTAATCGGAGACACCACCACTATCGCGACCAGATGAGAGCGGTTGCGACTGCGTTTGAGACCGCTGCTGGAGTAGGAGCGGCTGAAACGTACACTGCGTCAGCGGCGAAGGCCATGTCGAGGCATTTTCGGTGCCTGAGGGATGGCGTCGCCCGGCAGATTCACGCGACGAAGAAGGCGATGGGGGAGAGAGAAGATCCGGTGGCTCCCGGGATGACACGTGGCGATACCCCGCGTTTGCGCTTGCTAGACCAGGCGTTTCGGCAGCAGAAAGTGTACAGCCAAATGAGTCTAGTGGACGCTCATCCTTGGCGGCCGCAGCGCGGTTTGCCTGAACGCGCGGTTTCAATCCTGAGGGCTTGGCTTTTCGAACACTTCCTTCACCCGTAAGTCATTTCGTATATACGTCCCCACACTTCGTACTTTTACATATTTATACACTACGAAATTTCACCGCATACATATATATGTGTGTATGTGTATATATATTAATAAATAATTTTCAGCCTTTTTTCTGTGGAAATTATTTAGTGGTGGGTGAGAGACAGAAATAAAGAAAGGCAAAAAGGCTTTAGAGAGAATCAATGTTCCTTGATTAATGGTAGCAAAAGAGAGAGACAAGAAGAAGCGTTACTCTTTAATTAGCTTTGCAATGTTTTGTGCTTCCCTTTGCTCTATCTTCTCTTTTCCTTTTTTATTCTTTTTCCAATATTATCTTAAAAAAAATTTGGAAAAATATTTATTATTTCTAGTTGTTGATTACATAATTGGGTCCTCCTGGCTTCTGAATCATGTGTTTGAATTGTCTCCATCATTTCCCAAACACCGTTCAAACAACAAAACATTTTGTTAGCTTCTACCAAAACACTTCTCTTGTTTACATGCACATGCATTGTTCTTCATTTATTTTCTTTTCCCAAAAATAAAAAGACATATATATATATATATATTATAATTATTGCCAAAGCAATAGTGTTTATGGAAAATCGTTGCTTTAACATTGTTGAAGCTCCAATTTCATATATTTTCTTGCTAATTTCATACATCTCCGTGTATTGATATTCGATTATAATTTTGGGTTTTTTTTGGATGTAACAATATTGTTGTATGCTAGATATCCGAGCGATGTGGATAAGCACATCTTAGCCCGTCAAACCGGCCTCTCAAGAAGTCAGGTATACGTATAAGTAATTCAATCAATTCTTTCGTACAAAATATATATATCGTATACGTGAAGTATATACATGTAAATAATTTGATACCTCTTCAACTATAACAATGTCTAAAATGCCGTTTTAGGTATCAAATTGGTTCATCAATGCGAGGGTTAGGCTGTGGAAACCAATGATAGAAGAAATGTATTCAGAAGAAACAAGAGGAGAACAAAAAGACGAGGCCAACATCAGCAACCAAGAAAACGACATGTTAACCGGTCCAATACATGAGCCGAACCGGATGAACCGGGTCGACCCGGAATCTCTCTCCTCCATAATCACAAACCCTAGCTCCATAACCGCTCGTAAACCCTCACAGACCCACCAGCATGCAACCACGTCGTCGTTCGGGTCAGCGTTTGACTTTCAATTGTACGGTCACCAGGCGGTGACGTATGACGGTGACAGCTCCAATCAGGTTTCGGGTAAAGTAGGGCAGCTCCAATATTCGAGTTCGCTGTTGGATGGTGATCATCAAGCACTGATTTTGCCTCATAGGAATTTGATGGGGGCTCAATTGGTTCATGACATTGTTTAATTAGTTGGGTCGAATTTTAAGTTTTTTTTTAGAAAAATTTATCAGACAAAACCGAATCGGTTATCGACTGGTTCGACTAAATAACCGAAATTGTTTTGAAAGTGGAGAATTAGATTGCTAAGTTATATACGGAACGGGGGAGGGGGGCAAAAAATACAGAGATTTGAAGAGTACAACTTTTTTTTCCCCTTTCGAAGTGGAAGGTTAATCAGTTTATGGTTATCTGTTTTTAATGAATTCTTAATTTAAAAATTATTTTATTATTATAAAAAGTTATCCAATCTATGTGGGGTAATCGCATAAAAATACTCGAATTTTTACAAAAATTAAATACCCGAACTATAAAATTGTCATATAAATACCTGAACTTTTCAAAACTCCCACATAAATATCTAAATTTTTAAATTTTTTCCAAATCAAACAAACGCAACTGCTGACTCAGTAAAAAACTGCTGACTTAGCAAAAAAAAACGCTGACTCAGCAATATATATATATATATATATATTTGTATATATATATGAATTTATATGCATATATTAATTTAAATATATGTAGATGAATATTTGGACATTTAATAAAAATTTTGAATGATGAGTCAGCAGTTTTTTGCTTAGTCAGCAGTTTTATTTGCTGAGTCAGCAGTTGTGTTTGTTTGATTTGGAAAAAATTTAAAAGTCTGGGTATTTATGTGGGAGTTTTGAAAAGTTTAGGTATTTATATGACAATTTTATAGTTCAGGTATTTATTTGAGATTTTTGTAAAAGTTCGGATATTTTTATGTGATTACTTCATCTATGTGCAAAACTGTAGATATTAGTCATTTTTTTGTGATCGAGATTCATAACATTAGGACCACGTACGAACTCGAGGTTGTTTTTTTATAATTATAAATTATTTTATTTTTAATATATATATATATATATATATTTGTATATATATATGAATTTATATGCATATATTAATTTAAATATATGTAGATGAATATTTGGACATTTAATAAAAATTTTGAATGATGAGTCAGCAGTTTTTTGCTTAGTCAGCAGTTTTATTTGCTGAGTCAGCAGTTGTGTTTGTTTGATTTGGAAAAAATTTAAAAGTCTGGGTATTTATGTGGGAGTTTTGAAAAGTTTAGGTATTTATATGACAATTTTATAGTTCAGGTATTTATTTGAGATTTTTGTAAAAGTTCGGATATTTTTATGTGATTACTTCATCTATGTGCAAAACTGTAGATATTAGTCATTTTTTTGTGATCGAGATTCATAACATTAGGACCACGTACGAACTCGAGGTTGTTTTTTTATATATATTTATCCTAGTTTATCTAATATATATATATATATATATATTATATATTATATATGTGTGTGTATGAATAAAAATGCATGTTCTTACACGTAGACATACACACGCATGCATGTGAATAAAGGCATGACATGAATACACAACACACAACTACACAAGTATGAGGACAAATTAATTAAACGACCAAAGAACATGGTCCACTATACTTTGGTGATTAAATGACGAAACCTAATGGAAGGGGAAGTTATTGGACCATGTCGTTCGATATCATTCACGTGGTCCAACATCGTCACGTGAGCGTATGTACATATACATACATGTGGTCTATATATCTATATATGCATATTATCCTCTTTATTTCCTTCCAAACAAAAGCCAAATTTATTACTTTTCCCTATCCACGAGGTCTCTGACAAGTCTTTCAATTACATAGACTTGTTAGAGAGATGTTAAATAATTTCAATTTGATCCGTATGAAATGTGTAGTATTTTTATTCAATCGGTACAAAATTTTATTTTAAAAAGGCTGAATAAATACTTATAAAATAAAATCAACAGTAGAAAAGGCATTATTTAGAAATGCATTTGCTTGCTTTAATGATTATTAAAAAGTCCAGGAATTGAAAGTGATGTGATCCATAACCATTAACGAGCCCAAAACCAGTACAAATAAAATAAATGGGCCTCAGATATCTAGGCTCATTTAGACTTCAACTGGGCCTAAATACAACACACAATGTATAATTATTAGTTAGCCAACGCGCATATTACGCGCGTGGATTACACCTCCCGGAACTCCTAAAGACTCAAGACCACATACAATAATCTTTGTTAGGAACCAAACATTTGGACGTGAACGATGGGTTCGAAACCCATTGCCGTTAATCTTCAAGCTCCATATTTGCAGCCCAAAACGACGTCGCATAAAGAGTCCATTTCTCCGACTCGAAGAATCATTGTACCCTTTGATTCTGTATCAGTCGTGGATGCTCTGTCCTCTTGTACGGCATCAGGGGACGTAAAGCTCGGATCTTGCTTGCACGTCAAGGTTCTCAAGTCTGATCTCAACAGCAATGTCTTCGTCAACAATGCTCTACTCGATATGTATGCGAAGACTGGATTCGTGGAGAATGCCCGGAAGGTGTTCGATCTAATGCCTAAAAGGACTGTGGTTTCATGGACTTCGATGATTTCGGGGTATTCCCGTAATGGGTTGGATCAGGATGCGCTATTGAGTTTCTTGGAGATGTTGGAGAATGAGGTAAGTCCCAATGAGTTCACTCTGGCTGCAGTTTTACAGGCTTGCTCGAGGGCAAGTGATTGTGAACTCGCCCGTGTTGCCCATGGCTATGTAATGAAAAGCGGGTTTATGTCGGATGAGTTCCTGCAGAATTCTCTGGTGGGTGTGTATGCAAAATGTGGATTAGTGGATTCTGCTTTGAAGATTCTTCGGGCTTTTGGTCTGAAGAATGTCGTGGCTTGGAGTTCTGTGGTGTCGGGTTGTGTTTTGAATGGAATCGTTGAGGATGCAATACGCCTGTTCTTCATGATGAAGCGTGAAGGGATTGAACCGAATGAGGTGACCCTTCTAAGCATATTACACGCTTGTTCTTTGCTCAGACAGGAGATGGTTTTCTGTTGGGCTCATGGTTTGGTTCTGAAACTCGGGTTTTATGGCAACAATCTGGTGATGAATTCTCTGGTCGAGATGTATTTGGTAAATGGGTGTTTTAACGAAGCCCTAGAGGTTTTTTGCGAGTTCGGGTTTGGTGGCAGTGGAAAGTACCTTGCTCCAGAGACCATGGCGAGTCTTCTGCAAGGTTGTTCCAACTCGGCTTCTGCAAATTTGGGAAAATCGCTTCACGGATACCTGGAAAAGCATGGGGTTTTCCCTTGTGTTATCATAGAGAATTCTCTAATAGACATGTATGGAGAGAATGGGCAATGTGACTCTGCAATGCAAATCTTCTCAAGGATGAATAACAAAGACAGGGTTTCCTGGAACAGCATGGCTTCATGTTTCGTGAAGAATGGTAGATTCCACGAAACCCTAAAACTTCTCAAGGAAACTCGTAGAGGTGAAAATAGCGACTACCCTGATTTTATAATGATGTTAATGGCAGTTCAAGCCTGCTCCAACTTGGCATCATTACAGCTCGGAGAAGCTGTCCATGGCTACATGACTAGCCTAGGCATGGTAAACGATCTGTTTATCCAAAATGCACTTATAGACATGTATGGCAGAATAGGGAGATTGGATTTAGCTGAGAAAGTTTTCGGCGAGATACCTCTAAAGGACATTGGGTCTTACAATTCACTGATTGCAGCTTATGGACACAATGGTAATATTTCTGGAGCTCTCAATCTTTTCACAGAACTCAAAGAGTCAGATACCTGCAACCCAAATGCGATAACCTTCACCAGTATCCTTTCTGCTTGCTCTCATGCCGGAATGATCAGAGAAGGGTTTGAGATCTTTGGTTCTATGCAGAAGAACTATAACATCGAGCCGGGCATGGAACATTATGCATGCATGGTTGATCTTTTGGGAAGATCCGGGCGACTTGAGGAAGCAGAAGCTTTCATCCAAACCCTACCGATGAAACCAAGCAAAGACATATGGGGTGCCCTGTTGGGTGCTTCCGGGATTTCGGGCAATGCAGAGACAGCTGAAAAGGCGGCGAGAGAGCTTGCGGTTCTGGAACCATACAGCAGAACATGGAGAGTGGCATTATCAAATGCATATGCAAATGCAGGCAGATGGGAAGATGTAGCAAAAGTCAGAGTTCAGATAAAAGGGCTAGAGAGCATTGGAAGAGAAGGTGGATGGAGTAGAGTAGAATTGGCAGGGGAATATTTCGGGTTTATGGTAAATGATACAAGGCATCCAGAGAGTGAAATGATATATACGATCCTAAATACAATGAAAGAGCACACCAAGTATGAATACAATCACCAGGCATATGCATTTGATTAGTCATTTATAATGAGAATTCCATGCAATATCTTGCTTGCATATACATGATATATCACGTGTAAACGTACAGAACTAGGGATTATATTATTATTACAAAGTGAGTGCTATACTAAATAACATTGATTTAAGATTCCATTTCAGTAACATAATTGAAAGAAATCCTAGTCAATTGAAGAAATGACAACCTTTATGAATTCGGAGAGATCAAGTGAAGATGAGAATTGAACTGCCACAAAGCTGCAATTAATAAACTAAAGTTCAAAACACATTGTTCTCAATGAAGAGTATATTAACTAACTTGAGACAAAAAAAAAAGAGGGTATTCTTCTATCTTCAAGGAAGACCAGATCCTGCGGCCGAACCAGCACCATAGCCACCAGCTCCACGGCCAAATCCTGGCCTAGCTCCCGGTCCCTGCATTTTATTCATCCAAAAGATTCAGACACCAATATTATATATAAAACATAAAATGTTGTCTTGTAAGTTGAAGTATGAATCAGGAAGAATACTGCAATTTTTTCCATAAGAAACTCATTCCAAGAAAACAGATGATCATAGAGTAAAGTGAGCACAGTAACCCGCTGTCAAACTTTAGTCATGCTGAATAGGGTGACAAGAGAGTTTTGATGAGAATGCTCAGACAGGTTAAGAACAGAAAAAGACTAGCAATGGCTATCAAGAGCCACCTTCCAAGCAAATTCATGCTGACTATCTTAACAAAACTAGGGTACATTACATGGAAATGTTAGTCAGTAGCAATGGGAGACTGCCTAGAAAAAACATATACACAACAATGTCTAAAGGTGAGGAAGATAGACATTACCCTGAAAGAAGGTTGGTAGTCAGCAGGAGCTCCACCCTTGTCACCAAAATCTCCACCAGACCTCGGACCTCCACGGTACCCATCCCTGTCACCGAATCTTCTCTCGCCCTCAAAACGAGGCGGGCCTCTGGAAACAAAATAATGGCCGTGAAAACCATATCGGACAAACATGCAACTCTACAGCACACTCATAAAAGGAACAGCTCCTAAAGAGCAACATACAGATATCTTATGAACTAAGGTGATGACAAACTTTTTATTATAGTGCAAAATCAGTACACTTTCAAAACCCAGAATACGATACTAGTAAATGCAGATGAAAATTCAATATCGGGTTGATAACTTGAGCGGGGCAGATAATTACCGAGGACGGTCACCAGGGGGTCCACCCATGGGCCTGCCGGCAGGTTTCTGCTGCTTCTTCAATGTGGCAGGAACGATCTCAGAAGGGAGATTGAGGTAAGTCCTGAGGAAGGTAATGCCTTCGTTGGTGAGGTACCAGTAGTAGTGCATCCAAGCGAAAGTCTCACGCACATACTCCTTGGATTTGAAACTCTGCATCAGCTTAATCACCTGAAGATTCGGAACGCTCTCGATCAATGGATGCTTCTCCAAATTGAAATCCTTCTTGGCATACAATACACCCTCTGCCAAAATCAAGCAAAAGTTCAAGTAATCACACTGAATATCACATTCCATTGTGCTTGTTAACTAAAACAACATGAACCCACATATAACTGCGTACGTACACATACCTAGATACGCGTATACACCGAAATCGCTTAATTCAAATAATCAAAGACTTCGTATGGAATAATAGGACAACTATAAGGGACAATGAAGAAGAAGAAGAAGATTCTGACAGAATGTGGTACCTTTGAAGAGGTATTTGGAGATCTCGCGCCTGTTATTCTCGGGAATGATCTGCAAGCACGAGCAAAAGCATGAGGCAGGAATTTAGGAGAATCGAATTCGAATTTTCCCAGCATCCAAACAGAATGCCATTCGAGAATCCATTGCCGGATAAGAGCAATTTACCATGGTTGCGGCGAATTTGCTAGAGGAGGCGACGGGGACAGTGAAGGCTACTGTGAGCTTCTCTTATCGCAAGTCGGCGAGAAACCCTAACCTGCGAAGACGCGAGTTTTATAGCAAGTTTTATTTTTTTAGGGTTTGATGGTTAGGGCTTTTCGTCGGGCCCAATTAGAACTTTATTAGATAATAATCATATATTATCACATGCTCCATAAAGATGCACATCAATAATTCATATTTCCCCATTGCATCAATTATAGGTTTATGCTAAGCTCTCGTCTCTAATAATCACGAATTTGAAAAAAAATTGATTTTTATTATAAAAAAGCAACAACAGCATGGATCATAATATGACACAACCATGTTCATCATCATCAACATCAAACTTCCTCGGAAATTTTCCTTTTATTACATAATATGAACTTTTTTTTTCTTTCTCACCCAAGAAAAAGCCAGAAAAATGAAAAAAAAAAACCCAATAAGCATGAGTTAAAAAAATCACATTCACAACATTTCCTGGTGAAAAAATAAATTAAACCAAGGATGATCCAAAAGTCTTTGCGTCTCCAACAAAAGAAGATCCTTCCACATTGATTGAAGTTAAGGTTGTCCCAAAAAAGAAATTGATAACATGGACGTGACCATAACTCAATTCTTGTGTTTTTTTTTTCAAGCATTCAAATGCCGCCAAATCTCCATCTTGAACATTGCTATCATCGTGTAGATTGTAACTAGGAGCGTTTATTTCGGATTTCGATTTAGATTCGGTTTGGTAAAAAAAAAATTATAACCATTCATATTTATATCAAGATTTTGTTTTTAAAATATGCATTTTCATAAAAAAAAAAATCAGTTTTCGTTTATTTTTTTATCTGATTCAATTCATTACGGATATAATTTTTTCGAGTTAGAGATGTCATAACCATATTTTTTTTTTATGTGGGATTCGTTTTGATTACCTTTGGGTCTTATTCAATTCGAATCAATATATATATATATATATATTCGGTTAATAACTGAAATATCCATCCTAACGGTAACTTGTCAAATGCAGTAATACCAGTGCTGATTGAATCATTTACGAGGGGTGATATGGGAACTTGAAACTATTCTCGAGATTGATTTTAGGTTCCAAATCCATCGGACCAAGCCCAGAAAAATGTCGCGCCAGTTCTGTAAAGTTTATAATTAGTCGGGGTGGAATTCGAATTTTGTAATTCTTTTGAGGGTGTTTGGGTTCTTTTTTAATTTTGGGCTTCCTTTTACGGCCCAATTTCACTACATTCGATTCGTCTTTATTGGCCCATAAATTCCCGAATTCAAACTTAATTGTTTTTTTTCTCTCTCCCACAAATGCAATACACAAACACCAAGGCAAATAATATGGAATAACTTAATATTTTTTTTTTCAAATGCTGATGCTAGATTGAATTTAAGAAATATCTATACAAAATTCGATCGATCACTACACATTTTCCAAAATTTATGAAATAATTATATCAATCTTCTAAATAATATATAAATCTAGAAATAATATGTTGCAAGCTAAATTTAAAAAAAGAAGAAGCATAAATTAGGGGGGGGCACGGATCGGATATCCGGGATTTTTGAGATATCCGTATCCGTATCCGATCCGCACAAATATTCGATTTTGTTATCCGTATCCGATCCGTAATTTTCGGATATCCACAACTTCGGATATTCGTAAAAATCACGGATATTTGCGGATATCCGTATCTGACCTAAAATATTATAAAATTTTAAATTTAAATTACATAAAAAATTCAGATATAAATAAAATATACAATCTATTTAAGATAAATGATATTCACAAATTTAAAATTCATAATTTAAATATTTCAAATCAACTCAAATATAAATATAATTATAATTTATCACATACAAATATATTCAAAATTCAAAATTCAAAACATTAAACATACTAAATCTTAATATTCAAAAGATTATTATAAACCTCAATATATATAAAATTTTTCTTGAATCACCCTAAAAAACGTGTAAATATTAAGCATTTTAAATCTCCATATCAAATTATTCTTATATTTAATAATATTATTACAAAATACGGATCGGATCGGATATGTCGGATAATTAAATTTAATATCCGTATCCGACAAATATCTCTAAATAAATATCCGTATCCGATCCGTAAACTCCGGATATCCGAATTTTCGGTTCGGATATGAATCGAATAACGGATCGGTTCGGATTTTTTGGATATTTTGCCCACCCCTAACATAAACTGCCGAAAAGAAATGAAAAATGAAGAACAAACGACCTCGGAAAACGACAGAGCTAGTCTGCTAGAGTTCCTTCGCTTGCCATGGTCACGTCATCATATGACCATTTTTTCTGAAATTTTCCCTACTCTCTAAAGGGTGTTTTACTCAAATAAACCACTTGGGTCGCAGCTATTTCACGCGTATATCACAAAAAACATAACACATTAATTTTTTTTTAAAAGACGAAATTACCTTTAATGAATACACGATATTTATCCGTTCGAAAACAACTTCGTTATTACGACTTCGTAATTAATTCTAAAAAAGGTGGCAAAAAAGTTACAATTGATTCTAAAAAGGTGACAAAAAAATCATCTGTCTTATTTTATTTGTATATCAGTTATATGTTAATCGTAATAAAGTCGCAAAAAATAAAAAGAAAAGGGTATTTCGGACTTTTTCAACCGAAAAATGGGTTAAAATTGAAAAGAAAAATTTAATTTTTTTCGATGGTGTACGCTGAAATAGCTGCGACCCAAGTGGGTCATTTGAGTAAAAAACCCCTCTAAAGCCATTTTGACTGAGGTGGACCGTTCAATTCTTCGGAATCGAACCATATCGAATCGAAAATCTTGATATTTTTTTTAATTGTACTATTTAAAATTTTCGAATGGTATAATTTTTATAAAACTGAATTTCTCGAAACCGAATTAAACCGAATTTTACAAAATTCTTGAAAAACCAATTTTTTTTTTAAAAAACCTAATTTTTTTTAACAGAAATCGAAATCAAACCGTATCGAAACTGAAACTAAATCGAATCGAATGATATTTGGTACTAATTTGGTATAAATTTTAGAATACCGAATAAACCGTTCCTGAACTGAATCGTTAAAATTCGATCCGAATTCCGAAACATCTACCCCTAATTTTGAGAGAAAAATAAAATTAGAGTATCAAAGATGTCTTCCCTTTCTAGAATATTATTCTATATATATATATATATATATATATATATATTTAATTTATATCCATATTTGACGGATGAATGTATTAGAAATTACTTCAAAATATGAGTTCGAATTTCAATTTGGAGAAAGGAATATAATTTTAACCACATTATTTGTTTTCTATTTCAGAATTAGGATGGTTCTTGATGACCGGTTTACAAAAAAAAACTTTTTTTGGTCGTTCTTTGTATTAGATAAAAGTCAGCTCCATTCTGCCATGGGCACTGTGCCAAATTGCCTCTTCTTTCTGCAGATTTAGAAATTAAAAAAAAACAATCTTTTCCTTTTTCCTCTGGCCCTTTGCTCTGTTGTAGAGCCAATATCACCCACTTCCTCAATAATTTTACGGAATTCGTTTCTACTATATATATACAAAGAACTCCACAAACGATGTCTCCAGGTCCAATCTCTCTCTCTCTCATTGAATCGCCGATCCTCGTCGTTCTCCAGAACCCTAGATCGATCGTTTGATGCTCTGTTTCTGAGATTTCTTTGTAGTTCGTAGAGTCATGGCGATAGCAACGAGCTCGGTGCCGGCGAAGAGCGGCTTGTCTCTGTGGTGTCCGACCACTCCGTCGCTCTCTCGCCGCCTTCCCGCCGGTTTCTCTCCGATCGGATCCAGAAATGTCACCAGAGGCATTATCACTGCTTCCTTCGCTAACGAGAATCGCGAGTCAGTTGTCGAACACTTTGCCCTTTTCTATGTTTTCGTAAATGGTGCCTTTTCTTTTGTTATTTTTGCTGTGGAGTAGTGCATTTGGATCGGTTTTGACGAAATTTTGCTGGAAATGAGCTGATTTGCTGTGAAATACGCAACCTTTGTGTAGGTTTGTGATTGTAGGTGGAGGCAATGCTGCAGGATACGCTGCTAAGACTTTCGTTGAACATGGAATGGCTGATGGTAGGCTCTGCATTGTGACCAAAGAGGTGATTGAATCGAGTGTTCTCAAGATCAATCCTTATTTTTTTGTGGATTGCTTAATAGTTTAATCGAGTGTTCTCAAGATCAATCCTTATTTTTTTGTGGGTTGCTTTGCTTAAGAGTTTAATTTGTTGTTGTGATCATTGGATTTATTTGGGGTTTGTTTGTTTTTAGGCCCATGCACCTTATGAGAGACCAGCTTTGACGAAAGCGTACTTGTTTCCCCCAGAAAAGAAGCCTGCTCGTTTACCAGTAAGCAGCTTAGTATTCGCACTCTGATAAGTTTTGTAGTCTATTATGTTATATGAATGGCTATATGATGAATTCTTGGTGATGGTTTGAGTAGTATCTGTGTTAGGTGGGTTAGACAAGGATATGAATTTCTTTCAGCTTGGTTGGATCTTGGATGTCTTTAGTTGTGTTTCCATTTGAAGCTCTGAAAGGTTTTAGCTTTGTCATCTAATCCATGTTCTTCATGCATAATGTTTATGGCCTGGTGGTCAATGATCATAGGGTTTTCATACTTGCGTTGGAGGTGGCGGCGAAAGGCAGACCCCTGAATGGTATAAGGAGAAAGGGATCGAGGTAATCTTTCCTCTTAAATCTTTGCAAACTCGGCATTGTATGTTTTTTTTTTCTTGTCGTTTTCTCTGCTTTCAATTCTTTCATTTTCTCCCAAGTATGTTTTTTTTTTTCGATTGTATTCTACAATGGGCTTGTATGCATATGGATTTGTGTTTTACGTTAGGTGCGAGATAGCCTGAACATTTATAACTTATCGTTCATCTGTTTTTAACAGATGATATATGAAGATCCAGTAACGGGAGTTGATTATGAAAAGCAAACCCTCACAACAAATTCGGGTAAAGAGCTAAAATATGGCTCCCTCATTATTGCTACAGGATGTACAGCCTCAAGGTGAGTAGTGGTGATATTCTCTTTGCAATCCATTTGTGGTTAACAGTAGAAAAGCCAAAGGCCTTTCATCTTTCCTCGCCAATATCATGAATCTCTCTGATTTTATTTGCAGGTTTCCTGATCAAATCGGCGGAAACTTGCCAGGTGTTCACTACATTCGAGATGTAGCAGATGCTGACTCGCTGATTTCATCTCTGGTAATCTGAGCCCATGCTTGCCATCTTTCTGAAACACCTCTCCTAAATATAACTTGTGCTGATGAAACTACCTTGCAATGCTGATATCGTCCAGGGAAAAGCTAAGAAAATTGTTGTCGTTGGTGGTGGCTACATCGGTATGGAGGTTGCTGCTGCAGCTGTTGCATGGAATCTTGATACAACGGTGATTATCGCATTGCTATTGATCTTATATGGTTCAATCAATGAATTTTTCAGTGCTTGAAAGAAGTTACCAGGAAAAAGTTCAACAAAATTAGTGAGAATACGACATGCAAGCTAGATAGTGATAATTATGGACCCGAGTATGCTAACGTAGAATCGTTTCTTGTGCTTTCCCTTCAACGTAGATTGTGTTCCCTGAAGATCATCTCTTACCAAGACTGTTCACTCCATCACTTGCTCACAGATATGAACAGCTATACCGTGAGAATGGAGTTGATTTTGTCAAGGTAATGTATCCCTGTGAATGGATATGCATTGCCTTTGAGGAATGCCTAACCAAATTAAAGCAATTTGATCAATCTTTTTTTTTTTCTGTTTTTGAATAGGGTGCTTCCATAAAGAATTTAGAAGCAGGTTCGGATGGACGTGTAACAGCTGTTAGACTTGCTGATGGATCCACTATCGAGGCAGACACAGTATGATTATGTTCAGATTCAATAACTCTGTTCAAGATTGGAATCTATGAAGTCACAGAACAGGGGACCTCTTGTCTAACAAGTTTATTCTGGTTTTGCAGGTGGTGATCGGAATCGGAGCTAAGCCTACTGTCGGTCCCTTTGGAACCTTGGCTCTAAACAAATCTCTTGGAGGAATCCAGGTAACTGGAAATTAGTTATAACTTCATTCCATCAATTTATCGGGACATAACATCATGGTTTGAGCTTATACAAGAAAGGAAATTGTTATATTCCATGGCATGTCTATTCAGATTATTAATTCTCTGATAAGAGCTCATCTCGGTAACATAAACATATGGAAAACAGGTCGATGGCTTGTTCAGGACAAGTAATCCTGGGATTTTTGCCATAGGAGATGTGGCAGCCTTCCCTTTGAAGGTACTCTTCTGTTCTACAATGGAGAATTTGTATCCCTCTTCTGATCTAAACCTCCCTACGCGATTCTCTGATGAACAGATATACGATCGGATGGCCCGATTTGAACATGTGGATCATGCCCGTCGCTCTGCAAAACATTGTGTTAACTCCCTGCTTACAGCACACACTGACACGTAAGCTTTCAATGCCCGAGCTCTCTCTGGAATTCTCTTGCCTCTCTCTACAAATCTTCACCCCGTTAGTTGCGGTCGCGCAGATATGATTATCTCCCGTATTTCTACTCAAGAGTTTTCGAGTATGAAGGTAGCCCCAGAAAAGTTTGGTGGCAATTTTATGGAGACAATGGTAAGCATCCTCTCTTGACCGGAGCATTATAACTTTCTCTGATATGTATCTAAACCCTTTGAGTTGGGCCCGAGCAGTGGGAGAGACAGTTGAGGTCGGGAACTTCGAGCCAAAGATCGCTACTTTCTGGATAGATTCTGGTAAATATATGTCCACATCTTCATTTACTACCGATTTATGCTACTTAGTGAATGGATTAGATTCTGTGGAACTTTACGGAATCCATATTTCTGGTTGTGTACAAACTCCGTCTGTGATGGGTGATAATGTCTTTTGTGGGTAAAACAGGCAGGTTGAAAGGAGTTCTTGTAGAAAGCGGAACAGCCGAGGTAAAGCAGCAACAGTTCTCGACCCGTCTGCTTAAATAAAGTCTTGAACTTTTGACAGATGATGTAATGAAGCTTCTGACATTGTTTCTGTCCAACGCCATCGCAGGAGTTTCAGCTTCTGCCAGAGCTTGCAAGAAGGCAACCTCCCATCGACAAGGCAAAGCTTGAGAGCGCTTCTTCGGTGGAAGAGGCTCTTGACATTGCCCGTGACTCCCTTCAATAAGCTTAAGCTTCCATTTCCTCTTCATCCATGGAGGCATCTTTGACGAATAATGTAGATCGTTTTTCTAGAGCCGAACCCAATGTACATGCATAGCCCGAAATCCGGTGTATGTATGTACGTATATGGGTGCCGATATGGATGAATTGATGTACTGAGAACGAGTTCTCTTCGTTTGAAATCTGTTCCAAGTTGAGGATTTGAGGACAATGTTTGGTGGCCAATACTCTGTTACTGCTTTGATTTTAGCTGAATTGCGGGTGTGAAGGTCAAAGTCTAATTGGACCCAAAAAAAAGCAGCAGCATATTCTGGTTACATTTTAAATTAATCAAGGTCTGTGTTAGAAGAAAGAAATTAATTAGCTGCAATTTATTTAAGTTTAGATACTTATATTACGCAATTAAATCATAATGATCTTAAACACCGTATTTGTCCCAAGCTCTTTTTTCTTCTAAACAGACCTTAATTATGATTTAAAAATCATAATAATATTCATTGTCAAGAGAGAAAGAATGCAATTGTTGCAATTGGTGATTATCATATCTAATCATGCAAAAAAAAACGAGATTAGGGTATCTAATAATACACACCTAATTATGAGTTGTTCAAACAAACTCATCTGAAATATTGCATCATCTAAATACCCTGTGACGGCATGAAACGAAAATATTTTATTACAAAATAGAATTTATATATTTTTCTAATAAAAAAACTGTGCTATTGAAGATCAATAAGGAAATATAGAAACTCCCACTTTCACTTTCAGTCTCTGTCAGTAACTTGCACCACAAGAAACCTTAACCAAAACCATAATTCCAATTCCATTTATTATATTCCCGACAATATCTGTATGATGCATCTTGATTTTCAGTTTTTTTTTTGGTACATGACAGAGAAGCTGTATATTTGTAAATATCAGGTGTATCATGTATGTATTGAGTTCTTGCCCTAAAAGGAAATTGGTAAAGAGTTCAAGAGCTGTGACTCAACTTTTGTTCATGAGGAGAACAACAGTGTGAGCTGCAATGCTTCTGTTTTCTCCGAGGCTGTCAACTTTTTCATGGGTTTTGGCTTTTAAGTTCACAACACAAGGGTCTGTTCCAAGGAGCTGGGAGAGATTGGATCTGATTGTCTCCTTGTACGGACTCAGCTTCGGTCTCTGAAGAATCAAAGTGGCGTCCAAGTTCCCAATCTCGTAGCCCGCCTCATGCATCATTCTTACCTGGAAACATATGAAAGAACCTTCTCTTAAAGCTCATGAAATCAAACTAACAGACACTCTCAGTTCTACATCGCATTCAGACACGATCTGAACCCATCGTTACAGTCAAAACAGAGTTACCCATGTTGTTTTCCAAGCTTCTCGTTGTTCTATAAAACCCAATTACACTGAGTGACTGGTCAATCACACTCGAAATGCTATATCCTTTCAGGGGCTCGGCTTTATCTCCAGCTAATATGTTCTCCAAGAGACAATGTACAAATACAATTCTTGATCTATTGTTGTCTATCATCGATCCTCAACGGTATCACCATTCAAGAAACCGTGAAAGAATGCAGATACGAGTGTACTTGATCAAATCGGGATATGCCCGTGAACGAATACAGGGGGTTAGCTTCAGCTAGATAAAAAAAGAATTAGTCTCTCTGGGAGTGAATTATCCCAGTTAAAGAGACAACCTCATTAACACAATTAACTTCCATATCTCTCCCAATTTCCATAACTTGCAAACCAGTGAATCTTCATCAACCAATGGATCTAGCCCCAAAATCTATAAATTACAGCAGCCAAAAGCATCAAAGGTCCAAGCTTTAAACCAGAGATCCCTATACAACTAAAAGAGAAACCTTCAAGACACAAACGAATATCAGCATTGTACGACTGAAATGAACATCATCCCTAAAGATCACGAAATCTTACAGCTTCTCTGATGAAAACCGATGATGCAACTCCTTTCCATTTGGGATCAGAATCGGGAAATAACTGACCGATGTCGGGAAGCCCCAAAGCACCCAGAATCGCATCGACAACACAGTGAAGTAACACATCCCCTGCAAAACCAGCAACATCTCAACTCGAAACCCTAACGGATTCAGAAGGAGATGATTTTCTGGTTGAAATTCGTGAATAATCTACCATCGGAATGAGCCTCGCAACCCCTGTCGTGAGGGATATCGATTCCGCCGATGATCAGAGGATACCCAGGCTCCAGGCGATGTAGATCGAAGCCGTGTCCCACTCGAAAAGGCAGCGTCTTGGAGGATTTCTCGGAGGTCGCCGGTTTGTCGACGCCGACAGTCGGAGAAGCAGCCAAAGCTGAGACTAGAGGACGAAACGAGAGATACGAAGGTGACCGTACGGAGAATCCATGGCGATGGCGGGTCGTCGACGTTGTCGCCGGAGGAAGAAGGAAGGGCTTTTTGGTAATTTGAGACTGAAGCAGAGAGGACAGGAGTTGGGTGGGAGTGGTAGTCGCCATGGCCAAACCTCGCGGTTCTCTTGCGTTCAGTCAGTCTACCAGCTTTTATTTATCTATTTATTTAATCTTGCACGTTTTTTTTTCAAGTCATATTTTGAGCCGACCGAAATGAACGGAACCGTATCAAACCAAACCAAACCAAATCAAAACCGGTTAACCAATAACCGGAGAGACACTTCCCTTGATTGACAACAGCTATGTACACAATTCTAAAAGGCTCATAAGCTTGTATGCTTTAAGACCTCATTGCATTTCAACCGTTTGCAACACTAACATCAGTACACAGATCCATTCTATGATATGATTGATACAACATTTAAACCCTAAACCGATCTCACAAGCCCGAAGAAGAAGAAGAAGCAGATCGGAAATGCTTGTTCCCCTGTTCCGGAGTGAGATTCTCTAGAGCAGGTCTCTTCGGTCTCAGCTGAGATCAGTAAGAAAACCGGAACAGTGTCGGGTAAAACTCGCACCAAATCAAGAACAAAGATGGAGTACCATTATCGATTGTAACGATCAGATCGAGAGTAAAGAAAACCAGATGATGATAAAAATCTGACCTTTTCTTCAGCTCGCTGGTAGAAGCTTCGTATGAGTATGTTTTTTACCTCGGTAGTTATCACTGCAAAAGAGGTGGTAAAAGAGATATGAATTCAGGTGAGGGCAACAGAGTTGTAGTGACAAAATCCAAGAAATTCAGGCTGTTCATAATCATCGATTTCAAGAAACGATCTGAAGTTTCTCACCCCGGGAAAAAGGTTTCGTTGGATGTTCCCTATGATCGGATCAACTGGTCAACGCCAATTACGTAAAACATGGAAAAACAACACGAGTAAACACGAATCACGGTCTTAATGTTACCTTGATCCGGTGGTGGAAGTGTCCGGTTGTGAGTAGGATGATAGGTAGTGGGTATCATCCTCTGAAAAAACATATCGAAAAGATCAAGTGAGGATGCATGAATTCTATCTTCACCCACCATCTCATATAATCTCAAACTTGCAGATGGGTGCTTCAAAAAATGGATCTTTGAGTTCTTCAATTGGCCCGCTATAGATTAGCATAAGCATTTGAAAGAAAACTCATTTTCAATTTGGTAAGAAACAACAACAAATACGAGCAGATTTTGAAAGTAGAACAAAATCAGATAGTTGATTAACCATAAGAAAAACATTTATACCAAATCAGTATTTGCAAGGAACTGAGGAAAAGAAGGATGAACAAACACTCAGCTTGATCGATAACACAGCAAAACCAACCCAGAATGATGCTCTCTATACATAAACTAAGCAAAAAAACAAATGGAGAGAGGATCATGTATGCCATTATTCCGCCATTGAAGTTTGGAAGATGGAAAGCAGATGCTGTAGCAATGGCAGCTCTCTGGGTTCATACAAGTTCTACTTGCAAAACAGATCAAACCCATGACTTACCAATACGGATCGAGAAAACAATCCAAATCCCAAAACCTGGCAATCTCAATTTTTCTGGTCCTTAAAAGTTCAAAACATTAGCATCTACGGACGGACATTGACCGAGAAGAAGATCTAAGAAGCCTAAACCTTTACATCGGAAAAAAAAAACACAAACTTTCGCAGTAATTTCGTTCGAATTCAACAAGCTTGAATGAAAAAGACATCTGGGTATTCGTCCAAAGAACAAACCCCAAGAACCCGAAAACCAGAAACACCGGATTTTCCCGAGAAACAAACGGAATCGGGGGAAATTCGCGAGAATGAGGAAGAACTTACAGAGGGGTTGGAAGGATCGGAGGGTCGAAGTTGGCTGAAATTGTGAGGGTCGAAGGAGGGCAAGTCACCCAATATTGACCCCATTCGAATAGCCGATGTCTCCTCTCCCTTTGATCTCCAAAAAAAAAAAAACAATAAGGATTTGATCCCACTTCAAAACAAGCTGAAAATAGGACCATAGAAGAGGATGCATATACATATATATGTAATGTATATGCATATATATCCACTCGTAGGCACATGATGAGACGAGCAAGTGCGGCTTGTAAAATACCATTATGCCATTTGATTACATGTAATAACATGTAGAATGGTATGGAACATCGCCCACATCCATAATATTGAATTTTCCAAGTGTAAATCATAGTGAAATATCAACTTATATATGGAGGGTAAATACTTACAGTGATTTATATTGAAATAAAAAAAAAGCTTGTTTTTTTATATATATTTTTGCACTAACAATTTTTCTTCCTTTTTATAGATAAATAATCGAGTTAAAATTTGGTTATTGTGAAAAAAACAAAATTATGGTTCTCTTACAATGGAAGTATGGAGAAAATTTGCAACCAAACATCATTTTATTTCTTTCCATGTAAGAAGCCCAATCTATTTTAGAAGAGATAACCAACAAGCCCAACCCACCAATCTCTTATTGGATCTGCACCGTTGATAATGCCAAATCTCTCCTCTTCCACTAGACCGCGAAGCAGAGGATACTCTCTCCTCCGCCTTGGGTTTTTTCACGGTGTTCGTTTTCCCTCTTCCCCCCCTCCCCTCTCTCTCTCCGAACCTCTCTGAAATCCAAAGAAACGGCGGCGGATCGTCGGAACAACGATCTCCGGAGAATCAGAAGCGTAAATGGCGGCACCGGAAGCTCCGGCTGATGAAACAGATGGTAACTACGTTTCCGTACGACCTCTGTGCTTATATATGTGTGCGTTTAGGTTATGGAGATCTTTTAGGATGATGGTTTTAGGGTTGGGAAGAAGGAGAAGGGCTTGGCAAGGACAGGCAAGGGGTCAAAGGTCTCTCATCTCTGCCTTTATATGTATCTCAATCTCTTTGTTGATTATTTCTCCAACCATATTTTGTGCAAATGACCATGCTTTCGTTTGATGTCTGAAACGAAATTCGGGAACTAGAAGGGAAATTTTGAATTTTGCAGGTGAAAGTTGTAGGATTGAGATGAGAAAACTGGAGCGGAGCTTCTTGGCCAATGTACTTATATTATGTGCACTTTTTCAATTGTGTGAGATTATATACGAATGTATGAACTATGAATTGAATGCCCAAATGTGAAATCTGCGTTTATGGTTAAGTTTTGTAAATGTTGGTCGTATCATATACATTCTGTGGTCTAAGTTGCAGGATTGAGAAGAGAAATTGAAGTTACCTACTAAGGGCACGTTTACATAAGCTTAGGATCATATATGGTTCATTTAATTATTGGTACACTCGTGTATATACATGTATTTGTTATGGTCCAGACCTCGGATTCCTCAGCTGGAGAAGAACTGCCCAGCTTTATTGATCACCGAAAACAGGTACACGATGGATGACTTTGATTAGAGAGAGGTCCCCACTCTCTTCCCCTTACAATTCTGTACTAGAAATTGCCTAAAAACCCTTCAATCCCTTCTCTACACTATTTATACAATCCCATCCTAACAGAATTACTAACAGCTAACCATATTCCTAACCATAACAGACAATACAGCTGTTTATTCACAACTACTAACCAACTATGCAACAAACACAATCAACATATACTATCCTTATACACAAACAAACAAATCTAATAGCAGCGTACCTTTCTCTTCAGCTGTTCCTTCTTGCTTCAGCTCCCCTCTCTTATCCCTCCAGCTCCTTCTTCAGCCACTTCTTCAGCTCCTTCCTCTTGATCTTCACCATTTACTGCTTCTTTTCCTCTCTCCCTGCCTCTGACGTAAACCCTGAAATACTTATCAATACTCCCCCCTTTCTGTCTCAGCTTGTCCTCAAGCTGAAAGCTAGGAAATTGCTTGTTGAAATCTTCAGCCACTTCCCATGTACTCTCATGTTCTGGTAAATCCTGCCATTCAACCAAAACTTCCAACCGACCCTCTTTAGTATACCTGGAATCCTTGATGTCTTTCGGCTGAACTTGTAGTTCCAGATCTCTTGTCAACTGCCTTGGTAATTGGTTTGGTTGGATGTTACCTCCCAAAGCCTTTTTAAGCTGTGAAATATGAAATACAGGATGAATGTTGCACCCCTTAGGTAACTTTAGTTTATATGCTACCTCTCCCATCCTGCTTTCTATTTGAAAAGGGCCATAATATCGAGCAGCTAGCTTCTGATTACTCCTTGCTGCCAGAGTGTTCTGCCTGTATGGTCTGATTTTCAAATAAACCCACTCCCCTACTGTCAATGTCAGATCTCGCCTCCCTTTATCAGCTGATACTTTCATTCTCTGTTGAGCTGCTTGAAGTTTCTGCTTGATCTCCAATATCATTCTATCCCTTTCCCTTAGTGCTTTTTCCAGTTCAAAATTAGAAGTAGATCCCTCCTCATATTTCAGTAATGTAGGTGGTTCTCTTCCATACACAATCTGAAATGGTGTGGACTGTAATGCTGTGTGGAACGAAGTGTTGTACCAAAACTCTGCCCAACTCAGAAATTGAATCCATTTCCTGGGATGATCATTAGCATAACACCTCAAATATGTCTCCAAGCATCTGTTTAATACCTCTGTCTGTCCATCTGTTTGTGGATGATAGGCTGTACTAAACTTTAATTTGGTGCCTGCTATCCGAAATAATTCCGACCAAAAGTTGCTGAGGAATACCTTGTCCCTGTCTGATACTATGGATTTTGGAAACCCATGTAGCCTGACTACCTCCTGTACAAAAACCTTAGCAACCACCATAGCTGTAAACGGATGTTTTAAGGCTATGAAGTGAGCATATTTGCTCAATCTGTCAACTACTACCAGTACTACATTATAACCTGCTGATCTTGGTAAGCCCTCAATGAAATCCATTGAAATGTCCTCCCAAATGTGTTCTGGAATCGGTAATGGTTGCAAGAGACCTGCTGGAGCCAAAGTTGAATACTTTTGGCTTTGACAGACAGCACATTCAGCTACATATTTCTTAATATCAGCTTTCATTCCTACCCAATGAAACAACTCCTGTATCCTTTTTAATGTTCTCAAAACCCCTGAATGCCCTCCCATCTTACTGTCATGGAACTCAGCCAGAATTGTAGGAATGAAACTTGAATGTTTGGAAACTACTAACCTGTTTTTATATCTCAGCATACCTTGTAGCAAATGATACTTTCCCACTTTGGTTTCCCCTTCCTTCAGCTTGCTGACTATCTCCTTCAGATCACTGTCTTCCCCAATTTCTTTCTCTACCTCCACCAGTTGTATATTTCTCGGAATAGTTATGGCTAACCCCATACATGTTGGTTCCAGAATCGTGTTGTGTGGCATTCTGGACAGGCCATCAGCTGCCTTATTCTCCACTCCTGGCCTATAAACAATCTGAAAATCATATCCCAGTAGTTTAGTCAACCAACGTTGGTATTCCATACTCACCTCGCGTTGTTCCAGTAAGAATTTTAAGGCTTTCTGGTCTGTGCAAACCAGAAAACTTCTACCCAATAGGTAGTGTCTCCAACGTTGGATAGAGAGAACCACTGCCATTAATTCCCTCTCATATACTGGTTTCAATCTCTCCCTTTCAGACAGAGCCTGACTAAAGAAGGCAATTGGCCTATGCTTCTGCATTAGGACTGCTCCGATGCCAAATCCCGAGGCATCCGTTTCAACCACAAAATCTTCACGAAAATCTGGTAGTCCCAGAACTGGAGCAGATGTCATAGCCTGTTTTAGTTTCCTAAATGCACTCGAAGCATCTTCAGACCAATTAAACCCATCTTTCTTTAGTAGATCTGTCAAGGGACGGGCTATGGTGCCATAGTTCTGTACAAAGCGTCTGTAATATCCTGTCAGCCCCAGAAATCCTCTTAATTCCTTCACATTGCTTGGGGTTGGCCACTTTTGCATTGCTGCTGTCTTAGCTGGGTCTGTAGATACACCCTCTTGAGAAATTATATGCCCCAGATAGTCTATCTGTTGTCTTCCAAATTCACACTTCTTTTTGTTAGCGTATAGCTTGTGTTTCTGTAATACAGCTAGCACCGTCTGTAGATGTGTTGCATGATCCTGTAGCCAGCTTTATTGATCACCGAAAACAGGTACACGATGGATGACTTTGATTAGAGAGAGGTCCCCACTCTCTTCCCCTTACAATTCTGTACTAGAAATTGCCTAAAAACCCTTCAATCCCTTCTCTACACTATTTATACAATCCCATCCTAACAGAATTACTAACAGCTAACCATATTCCTAACCATAACAGACAATACAGCTGTTTATTCACAACTACTAACCAACTATGCAACAAACACAATCAACATATACTATCCTTATACACAAACAAACAAATCTAATAGCAGCGTACCTTTCTCTTCAGCTGTTCCTTCTTGCTTCAGCTCCCCTCTCTTATCCCTCCAGCTCCTTCTTCAGCCACTTCTTCAGCTCCTTCCTCTTGATCTTCACCATTTACTGCTTCTTTTCCTCTCTTCCTGCCTCTGACGTAAACCCTGAAATACTTATCAGTATGATTGCAAATATATTTGGTGGTTTGCCTATGCGTACACATTTTAGTTTTTATCGTAATTCTGAGCTGTGAAATTGGGGAGCAGGTGTTCGTGTGGACAAGCCAAATCCCTGGGCGTTCGATTCAACTCAGTTTGATAACATTCTCAAGAAATTGAAAGTGGTGAGGCTGTAGTTTCTATCTTCACAATGTTCTTTCCAAATTTCTCACTCACCGGGTATTGATCCTATCAACAAATGGCTTTCTCTCTATTTTCTGTTAATGTGCAGCAAGCAGCGACTAACAAAGATTATGGTAAAGACAAAGCTATCACTTTTAACACTTATATTTTTTGTTTTATGGCATTGCAAATCTTAAAGATTCTTTTTCTTCTTTCGCACTCAATAGCTGCAAAGAAGGAAGGTGAAAGTGACAATGAGCCTGTTAAGTCTGAGCCCGTTGCAAAAGTTACTCGGCCTCAAGGAAGGTTGGTAGATAAGCTTATCGTCTTTCCTCTCTATAACATTCTTGACCGTGCTGTGTGGTGTTTGACTCTTTCGATGTTTTTTCTCGGTTTAGATATAAGCGGAGAGAGAAAGAGAAGCTTGTCCATTCCTACTCTTCAACCGATCTCGAAGGAATACTAGTAAGTTAGTATTCCAATTAGTTATGCCAACCCTTGATGGTTATCCTGTTCTACCTTATTCTCTCAGGATATGTTATGTTATTATCTTTCTGTTCATTAAGCATTTCAATTTTCAAGGAGCCCACATCAAATGTGTATTTCCTCAGCCAAAATCACTTGTAACTCCTTCTGTTTGCATCTGTGTCCCACAAAAAACTTCTCATCACACCTGAAACATAATCCCTTCTTCCTTTTCTCTTCAAATTCAGCATCAGACATTCTTTTGAATGTTGATTTCTTTTCTTGAACTCCACCCTCCTCTTTTGGTCCTTTTCCTCCATTGATCTGTCTTCCTCTTTCTTGAAAATTGCTCCTGTATGATTGGTTCTGGTATTTCTGGTTTTCAGTAGGTACTGAAACTGTTCTGAATGATGAGCCTGTATATCCCGTCCTCCAGTTCTTTCCATCACTACCTCCTTTTCCTCCACACACCGCACTTAGCTTGCTGCCTTCAATGCTCAGTGCCACATCCACTATTTCTTCCATGCCTTTAGGTCGGAAAATCTGTAATATCTCCAATATCTCTGGTTTCAATCCATTTTTGAATGTACTTTCTACCATTTCTTCAGGAGTATGAGGTACCTGAGCTAATAATTCTTCAAACTCACACAAGTATTCTTCTACCGTACCTGTTTGTCTCAATGACAGTAGTCTGTCGAAAGGTGAGCCCAGCTTCCTTCCACCAAATCTTCTTGTTATCCTTTCTCTCACGTCTGCCCAATCCTTAAATGGTTTCTTCCCATTCTGATAGTCATACCAGCTCAATACATGTCCATCGATGCACATAGCAGCTAACCTCAGTTTCTCATTTTCTGAACATTGTCCCATTGAGAAATACCTTTCAGCTCTTATGATCCATGCATTCACATTTGTTCCCTCAAATACTGGCATCTCGATCCTCTTGAAGTGTGTACTGCAGCTTCCAGTGAATCGATCTTGTTGATACTTGTCACTATCTCCCTCTGTTCGATGTGTCGCGTTTCTCGCCTCTTGATCACCTCCTTGTGCTTGATTGTTTCCTTCTTCTGATTCTGGATTGCATGTCGCATCTGGAATTGCCTCGCGATTCCCTTGCGAATTCTGCTGATGATTACTCGCTTGTGGCTTCACGTTTCTGTCAAATTCCTGCCGATCCTGGCTACCAGCCAGCATTTGACATATTTTTGATAGCATTACCTCCATCGAATCTATCCTTGCGCATTGTTTCTCCAGGTAGACCATTTTAGAACACTGCTTCTGTAACTCTTCCATCTTTTCGTGTTGTCTCTGTAATTCCACCCTTGTTTCATCGATTCTTTCACCTCTGTCCATGGCTCTTTCTTCCAATTGTTCTCTTATTTGCGCGTTGGTCTTCGTCATTGATGAGACTTGCTCTGATACCAATTTGTTATGGTCCAGACCTCGGATTCCTCAGCTGGAGAAGAACTGCCCAGCTTTATTGATCACCGAAAACAGGTACACGATGGATGACTTTGATTAGAGAGAGGTCCCCACTCTCTTCCCCTTACAATTCTGTACTAGAAATTGCCTAAAAACCCTTCAATCCCTTCTCTACACTATTTATACAATCCCATCCTAACAGAATTACTAACAGCTAACCATATTCCTAACCATAACAGACAATACAGCTGTTTATTCACAACTACTAACCAACTATGCAACAAACACAATCAACATATACTATCCTTATACACAAACAAACAAATCTAATAGCAGCGTACCTTTCTCTTCAGCTGTTCCTTCTTGCTTCAGCTCCCCTCTCTTATCCCTCCAGCTCCTTCTTCAGCCACTTCTTCAGCTCCTTCCTCTTGATCTTCACCATTTACTGCTTCTTTTCCTCTCTTCCTGCCTCTGACGTAAACCCTGAAATACTTATCAGTATGATTGCAAATATATTTGGTGGTTTGCCTATGCGTACACATTTTAGTTTTTATCGTAATTCTGAGCTGTGAAATTGGGGAGCAGGTGTTCGTGTGGACAAGCCAAATCCCTGGGCGTTCGATTCAACTCAGTTTGATAACATTCTCAAGAAATTGAAAGTGGTGAGGCTGTAGTTTCTATCTTCACAATGTTCTTTCCAAATTTCTCACTCACCGGGTATTGATCCTATCAACAAATGGCTTTCTCTCTATTTTCTGTTAATGTGCAGCAAGCAGCGACTAACAAAGATTATGGTAAAGACAAAGCTATCACTTTTAACACTTATATTTTTTGTTTTATGGCATTGCAAATCTTAAAGATTCTTTTTCTTCTTTCGCACTCAATAGCTGCAAAGAAGGAAGGTGAAAGTGACAATGAGCCTGTTAAGTCTGAGCCCGTTGCAAAAGTTACTCGGCCTCAAGGAAGGTTGGTAGATAAGCTTATCGTCTTTCCTCTCTATAACATTCTTGACCGTGCTGTGTGGTGTTTGACTCTTTCGATGTTTTTTCTCGGTTTAGATATAAGCGGAGAGAGAAAGAGAAGCTTGTCCATTCCTACTCTTCAACCGATCTCGAAGGAATACTAGTAAGTTAGTATTCCAATTAGTTATGCCAACCCTTGATGGTTATCCTGTTCTACCTTATTCTCTCAGGATATGTTATGTTATTATCTTTCTGTTCATTAAGCATTTCAATTTTCAAGGAGCCCACATCAAATGTGATTAGTCCTCTTATATTTGGATTCCATCCACGTATGTAAATCTAATCCCTGCTTGGTAAGGACTGATGGTTGGATTCTCCTTTATAGATTAAGCGAACAGATGAGCCATCCCCTGCGGTTCCTGATGCAGCTGATCCAATAGAGATTGGAAGTGGCAACTGAGAGCCGAGATGTTAGTGTTGAAGGTAACAACTACTGAATCTTGAAGAAGAGTGTCGTCTCTGTTACATTTACCACCCTGCTGCTGATAAGATTGTCGAATCTTTGAAACTGAACAGAACCGCAAATCGAAGAGCCCTCTCAGGACTGGTGAGGATATAAATATGGGTTTGTGTCGCGTGGTCTTCTCGGAGCTGCGACTGGCAGAAAGAAGTCAAAGAAAGGAGAGGCTAAACTCTCAGGTGAGAGGAGGATGTTTTGTGAGGAAGATCAAGAGAATCTTTACAATTTGGTCCAGGTATGAATCTTCTTCTTACATCTTCCCTCCGAACAGTTCTTAGAGAAGAGGTTAGTAGAGCTGATAGTTCGTTCACCCGTGATTTTCCTGCAGGACAAAGCCACGGCTGGAAAGCAGGGACTGGGTATCAAAGACATTCCAAAGAAAATAGCGGGCGCCCGTTTTAAGGGGAAGAAGACATCGTTAGGTAGCAGTGACGAGGACGAGGAAGAGGAAGAAGACAACTCTATTATTGAAAAGCCTTCAATGAAACGGAAACATGATGGTGCAATCGCTACCACTGAGTCGGAAATCACGTTAAAAAGCCTCTGCAAACGGCTTCTCCGCAAGGTGTGTGATTGTTATCTGGAAAAAATATTGGGTGGTATGAATTTCAGGAAGCTGGCGAGGTCATGGAGTTTAAACAGCTTGAATCTCTTGTAGATGAACATGCCCCAACGCTTCTTTCGGAGTTTTCTTCAAGACAAGATGCTACTGCTTACTTGAGACGCAAGGTAATGCATATATTAGCTTATGGGGTAAATTGGTCTTGGGAATTCTCTTCTTTTTTTATTTAATTAAAAAAAAACCCCTTAAATAGAAACTGGACATAGCTCTTTATAAATGCCATTTTCCATTCATTTTTAACAAATAACGTAGATCCCACTTGTGCGTGTGGTTGCAGATGGAGAGAAGTGGTAAGTTTGTTGTTGAAGGGAAGAGAGTGCGGCTCTTGTCTGAAAATGGGGATGAGGCCTCTTTACGAAATACAATATCTTCTGGTTATTGATAATCTTGATTTGATTGTAATCTGTTATATATATATATATACACGATCTGGATACTAACATTTCTCACGTAATGATATTTGGTTCTTTGTTACACCTTATCTGATATATATATATATATATATATATATGTGTGTGTGTGTAAAAGATGGGATTATTTATAGTAATAAAATGACGGATGATAATAAAATGATGCGCAAGTCTGCATCAGACAAGGATCGCTAGTTAGCCATATAACATATGATACGTATATATATTGCAAGTATAGTTATATCCGACAAATATTTAAGGGTAATACTAATATATCCATCCGAATTTAATTATATGTGTGTGTGTATTGACGGGAAGCTTCCACGTGCATGGGTTTGGTTAGTTCGAAGAGCAAAAGAGTTGATAATAATTAATAATAATTTGGAGGGTTCCAAACAACCCCCACCTGAATCTGTTGATCAAATAGTTAATAGTTACTGCCCATCACATCCAAGCCATTAATTTCATTTATTTAATTAATCATGCACGAGAGGTTTATATACTCTAATATTACTTAATTTCCTCACTTTGAATATAATATGTGGAAAGCTACTTACAAAGTGCATACGATCTCTCAATTATCAATAAAATTGTAAAAATACGTGGCAATATTATTATTAAAAAGGCCACATGGATATATATATATATAGATAGATAGATGTATGTATGTATGGAGTGATATATCGTCCGTGCTATTGCCAATATATGTAAAATCTGAAACTGTGTTTTAAGATTACATGTCATCTTTGCCCGCCTTACGCTAATTTTTTCTATATCGTTCCAATTTTATCGGATGCCCCCGAAGAGACAATTTTATCTGAAGTTTAAGATTACGTAATTAAGCCTTACCATTTAACAATTATATCATAAGTACATTTAGGATCTTAACTCTTACATTGAAATATTATTCTCTGCTACCGTAGATAACATATACGTTACACCTCTCTGTTTTATCTTATATATATATATTGATATACAATTTTAGATTAACATTTTTTTTCCAAATTACCATACGTTATGTGATTCTATGATATAAATATTTTCTTATATATGTGTGTATATATATGAAGAAAATCGAAAAGAAAGAGAGATGGAAAATTGTGGGGATAAAAGTCTAATGGCACAAGGAATTAAAAGGGGGAAAGAAGGCAGTTGAACAGAAAGTTGGGTGAAACGTAGTTGGCTTATAAACCCTTTTCCATTTATATTCCTTCTTCTTTAGATTCTCTGCAACTTCTTGTTTTTCTCTTTCGCATTTTCACATAGTAACAATGGAAGGTGGAGACCCAATGCTAACCCTAGAAAACCCTTTGACGTCGTCCTTTGAAAAAACCCTAATGATGATGGCTCCATTATCCGGCGGAAACGAGGGGGCGTCTTCTTCTTTTTCTCCGGTGAACTTTCCGGCGCCAGCGCCGGAGAACGTCGGAGGAGGAGCGGGTGTGAAGAGTAACAAAGGGAAAGGGAAGGGATCGGCGGCGACCCCGAGGATCGCGTTTCATACGAGGAGTGTTGATGATGTTCTTGACGACGGTTATCGATGGCGAAAATATGGTCAGAAATCTGTCAAGAACAACGCTCATCCCAGGTATATATACATATATATGTAATTATATGTGCACATATATATATATACACACCACCTCAAGTGAATCCCGAAAACGTAGTCCTGCGTAAAATTATAACCGGACATTATTCTTGATGATACATGCAGAATCATGTAGTTTTTTTTTATCATGAATATATAAATGTATGTGTAATTAACTTACATACACACATAGATATGAAGATGCATTTCGTAAAGTTAGAATGAAATTAAAGTTCAAAATTAGAATGAAATCGGTCGAAACAAAAAATACTATTAATTCAATTCTCCAAAGTTTGTATGCATGTATGGTTGTGTGTAATAATGTATGTATATATATATATATATACAGGAGTTATTACAGATGTACGTACCAGACATGCAACGTGAAGAAACAAGTGCAGAGAGAGGCAAAAGACCCAAGCATCATCGTGACGACTTACGAAGGAATTCACAATCACCCTTGCGAGAAGCTCATGGAGACTCTCTCTCCTCTTCTCCGCCAGCTTCAGTTCCTCTCCAGGGTTTTCTGATGATTTTCTTTCTTATTAATCCCTCCTGTAATTTGTAATTAATCAAACCTTCCTTAAAATGTGCTTCTTAATCAATTACTCAGACAGAACTGTACATAAACAAGCTTACAGATCATTTAATGTAATGTAACAATTGTTGTAAGATTCATTTCTTTCGCTGTCATGTCTCTAAACAAGTGAGGAAAGTTATATAATTTTGGAGCAATTACGGAGACGAATTTGTTCTGAAAATAAAACACATGTTTAAACAAAATAACATGATAAATAATTATAATCATTACCGAAACAGGCTTCGTCATTGCAATAACGTCCTTGTTATAAATTTTCTTTGGATTTTTCAAACCAAATCAGATGTCTCTAAAAGAAAAAGGGTCCGCCATGAAACCAAAACCGACCGGTTCAGTGGTCATAACCCGTACCAAAAGCAAACGTTAACCGAAATATACACCAACCACCACCTTTTTTTTATAAAAAAAAAATTCCACATCACTGCAGATGGAATCAAGCCCTCTTGACAACATTTTAACCTGGCAACAAACCGGGAATTCGGTAGCCATATCACAAGCCTAAACCGGTTCAAACCTAAACCAAAGAATTCACAACCATGTTAAACGTGTTTCACCATGTTAGTAGAGTTGCTGTCCTAACTAAAGATATCATCCCACCATGTCCCTGGAGGAGGCATTGTACCAGAATACTCTGTGAAATCGGGAGGCAGAACCGTCACAGGCGGTGAATCTATAACGGTTTGCGTCTGGGGGATACCCATCCCAGGGGTTTGGTTCGCCAAAAGCGCTTGAATATCAGGTAGATTGTAAGAATCCATTGAAGGAAGTGGCTGGCAGGTTTGAGCCGATCTAGTTGTCCGGGACTGTTGTTGGGATGGTCGGATGATCATGTGGTCAAGAGATGCAGAGTAAGATCCAGGCACAAGGCTTCCTCTCATACGGCCCACTGGCCGCCAGTTGGCAGGGGTGGTGTTATTAGCCGAGGTCTGGTCCACTAGGTTGCTGACTTGTGATACGGGTTGAACCGTGGGACCTGCTTGGTTAAGGCTGTTTATCTGATCATTGCTTACAAACCGGGTTTGGTGGCCAAAGTTTATGTTGGCCGCCCGAGACTCGTGTGAGGATGGTGGTTGTCTTAGGGGCGTTGTAAACTGGCTTCTCATGTTCTGCAAGAAAAAGAACATATCCGTATATGAATCAAAACTCAGCCACTCGGATTCAAGGCTGGTGATGGAGGGTTGTTGCATGGACAACCTTGTACGAAACATATGCATTAAAACAAGTTAAGAAAGAAAGAAGTGGGGATTGGATAGCGAACCAGTATTGAAGGATGGCCATGGGATGAGGTTGAGGCTGGCACTTGAGATGGATTGCGGTAATACAGTCTCCATCTCTCCATCAACCTGGCCGTACTACCCTGACAATGTCCAACGGGCATAACAAATGGCGCATGGGCCTGAGAAGATTGAGGTCTTTGTATCGGTGGGCTGACCATGGTGGTAGTTACAGGTCTATCCTGTGTAGATGATGTCTGAACCTGAGAAGCCGAAGCCATGTAATGTCCAGCAGGCATAACAGGGGAAGCCTGAAACTGAGGGGACTGAGAAATGGGTATTGATGCATTGAACGTGGTGGTAGTGGCTGCGGGTCTGCCTTCCGTGGTAGATGAGGTCTGTAAGGACGGTATGGGTAGGGCTTGTACTGCTACGGGATCTCGGCTTCTAGGTATTGGGGATGAGTCAATATATTCTTGCCCGAGGGCAGCTTCTGAAGTTTGTGCTGGCTGTGGCATACCGTTGCTTGGAGCAGAAAACTGATCCAGCATAATAGAATCCAGTGGTAGGTCATTGGAGGTATGAAACCCAGAGAAGTCCCCATTCAAAGCAGCGTTATTCGCATTACTAGATTGACCTTGAATATCGGATAAAAGGGGCTTCTGGTCTTCAACCTCAGTATTACCAAATGTTCCCATCTCATCATCGTCCCCCGTGAGATCCAAAACCATCTGGCCAGAGTTTAAGATGCTAGTTTGGTCTTCATGATCATGATTGGTTTCACGCACAGGTTCCATTGTCTCATCGTTTTCCACCGCAACCTTCCATGATCCACCGGTAGAGATTATCACATCAGCAGCATTATCTCCAACCTCTTTTAGAACCTGATGGTATGCGAGAGATGTTACTTTACATAGACGGTGGCATGCAAAAATTTATAAAGCATGTCCATGAGTAAACATGTCGTAGATACTTGCCTTGACCATGTTTTGATCCACACGAATATCAGTATAGCAGACAGGCTGATTACAATGCGGGCAGCGCCATGATGGTTTTCTCATATTGATGTTGACATAGTTCGAGAAGTCAAAACACTACAGCAGCAAGTACCATAAATTTAAAAAAAATATTGAACAGTGTACATAAATCACTATTATCTCCAGATGTTCCACAGCTCTAGTTATGCCAAACGCTTTTCCAACTTCTATTCTTCACACAAAAAGTTCACTACGCATTTGTTAACCAAGAAACATGTCTACCTATCAGAATCGTACTTGAGCCAATGTTGAAACACCAAAAGAATGAAACAAAACCAGAGCACCGAATGCTCATTACGAAAGAAATAGTTTTTCACCATGCTGATTTAAACAACATCGAAATATAGACAACCCCATAATATCTAATGTTGGATAAAAAAATGTATTACCTGAAGATGTTTACACAAGTGACCCTTGACAGGAAGTTTGATACGACTGTGGCTGTGTTAATGAAGATGAAGTAAATAAGACAGTTGTTTTTGAATGTCAAAGCACTTGTACACAACTCCCCCTAGACGCAAAGCCAATTATAGAAAAGCATCAGTGGATACCTGATAGGACAACTGAGAGATATCCGAGATGGCCCCTCGATTAGGTCAGCATCTACAGTCAAAATTATAAGAAAAAAGAATGGTGAATCTTCAAAAGAACTTTGTTTCTACAACTATACATGAGCAAATCATTGAATGATATAACTACAACTGAAGAAAAGACAGTGACATTTAAAGCAAATTTTCTCTTCCATGGATCGCTCAAGAGTGTACCTGAATTTGATTCAATGCTTTCAGACTGAACGTAATCTTTCAGCACAGATGTTTCAGGCAGCAGTATCACATCCACAAAGGCAAGAACGATGATGTAATGACCTTATAATATTGAGCATCTTCGTGAGATAAGGATGGCTAAAACAAAGATAAATGAACAAAAAAAATATTAACTAACAACATACCATTGAAATTGCCCATTGCTTGTAGCAGGTTCGTCCCATATTTGAGCAATGGAGTAACATTTGTTGGGAGCTGAGGCCCTGGATCCTAAACAAATTAAATAACAATAAACAAATATTCCTCCACATAATTAACTCAGAAGAATTCCAAGTCACGATAGAACTGCCCAAACCATTTGGAAGTTTACTCTCTTCACAACTGGCTTTCCGTTCAATAGGAAGCTGCAATTCTCATACAAAAGGAAGGAACATAATAAGAACATATTACCTCACATGAAGTTCGAAAAGAAGACAACTGAAGGAAATTCAGCTATACCTGACTTCTGGAGGATTTATAATACAAGCAGATGTCTCAATGCTGTCTGTTCGGGCAACAAATAACAGCTGAGGAGCAAACAAGATTCTTCAAGTAAGACACATTATGCTAACCACGAAGGGTACGAGGGTATATTAATGAGATAAACAAAGACTGAAAAACAAAAATGAAAGAATGTGGACTGGCAAACTAGATGTCCTTATAAATTGTATAATATGAAGCACCCAGTAGTTGAAATCTTCAGCAACAGCAAAATGCAAGTGTTGTAAGTACAGAACACATGCACAAACCCACCTGACTGCATAAAGACTATATGCAGCACATGAAATACCAGACAGATAAAGATGTAAATATTATCAATGACTGATACAAGTAAATCATTTCCAGGAGGTGCAGAATCGGATAATGAGTGACCAATACACAAAAAGTCCGTAACAAAAAAAATGAAGTTACATACTATTTTCTGTTGAGTAGTATGAGGCATCTTCTTCGAGATACAGAAGTCTTTCGCCAAAATTGTATACCCAGACTGCCAAACAAAGAAAGCTAATTAAAGCACACTTTGAAAAAAAACATCAGAAGATATGTGATAGAAATAAAATATAAGACAAGCTCACCTTCACTTCAAGGGAAAGAAGAGTAAGCCCCAGCTTCATGAATGGATAGAACCTAAAGAGAGAAAGGAAAAGATCCTTAGTTTCACCAAGTTCATTTTCAGAGACAGTAATTTCTTACCCTTTTTCATCCTAAAAGATAGTATAGCTTGAGAAAAGCATTTGAGAATACACAAGTGCCTAATAATAAACTGTTAGAACTCGATTACACAAGAACTGTGGCAAGACCTACCTCTCCATGATCAGTGAAAATGGAGTGCCAGAGCCTTCCAAACTAGGGCTGCTACCTCCATGACTGCCAAAACCATTCCATATCTGAACAAGACCAGAAACGTAACACATAAATATTCCCTGAATGCTAAAGATTCATTTGCCAAACTCTTGCCAGAAAGGATGCAGACCTCATCAGCAAGTGCCAAAAGTTCCTGACTGTCGCTTTGCTGAAACCATCCCAACTGACAAGCATTCTGTGCCATGACATTAAACACAATCAGTATGATAGATACATCATAAACCATACGAGTTTTTGCGGATGATGTTTCAAACGTCAGCCTATATTTATCATCCCACACATGATATAGTGAGACCATTATGGACCCATTTATATTATCCAGCACCTAAAAAGTCACAAATAAGGTAGCCTTCCCGTAAAAACTAGCTAATGAGAGAGTATTATGCTTATTCATAGAGAAAAAGCATTCATCAGGTCCAAAATCTCACACGACCATAAGCGCCCAAAACTACAAGTGTCAGAGAACTCTTTCTCTTGTTACCTTAACCGAGAGCATCATCACCATTAACACCGCATATATGGAATAATGCTCACTTCTACGCCTGCACAGCTACACGACATAACACAAAAGAATCACTATGAGCACACTAACTGAGGCATCTAAGCACACAAGTGAAAAGATACAACAACCACATCAACAAAAAAATCCCTAAAACAGAAGAAGAAACCAACCTTCTTGAGCAGGAAAGGCAATTCTCGAGCTTTGGATGGAATCTCATTGTTCGCAATCGCGAAATCGATGCCTCTGCATTTATCAAATAGACCCAATTAACAACGGAGAAAGCAACTCAACGATTCAATCCAACCAGGTAACAAAAAAAAAAAAGCAAAAAATAAAACGCTAAAACCCAAATCCCAGAAAGCAAGGAGGCGAAGAGAAGGCAGAATAAGCTCAAAATACAAACATCTGCAGACATGGTGGAGCGAATTACTTAGCCAGAGTGATACAACAGGTTCGGAACTCGCCGAGATCCTTGTAGTTGCTCAGGCGACCAGCCTGAACGAAGAAGGCCAACCGCTGCGCCACCGCAGCCAGTCGGAAAGAATTCACAAGCGACGCCGCTGTCCGCTGTCCGATTCCTCCGGCCGCCGGAGACGCCGCCTTCATGTACGAGATTCCGACAAAGTCTCGAAGATTCCTTCTATTTTAGACGATTTCTCCCCCCCCCCTTTTTTCCGCACTCATTCGCCAATGAAATTTTTAGAAATCCCTCTGCACCCCAAAAAATAAAAAGAAGGAAATCTAAAAGCTTTTCGAAGTACCTGTTTTTTCAACTTCATAATTGGAGAGGGGCTGCTTGGTCATTTATAGTTTCAGATTTTGCGGCCCTCGCATTTTTTTAGATTTATCAGTCGAGCCCTCTGATTCTATAATATTACTGAAAAGACCCTTTTCTTTTTTAGCAACCGGTATCCAACCCCTTTCTTGGCCATTTCGGGTTTCGGTTCGGATTCGTTTATTTCGTTTATAGAAAAACTATAACCATTCGGTTTTTATATAAACTTTGGTTCGGTTATTTTTCAGTTCGGTTCAGTTTCGGTAAAAAAACTCATTTTTTTAAAAGAAAATCATCGGTTTTTTCGGATATTTTTTTATTCGGTTCGGTTCGGTTCGATTCGATTTCGGTTTTTTCGGATTTAAGAAAATTATAACCGTTCAATTTTGATGTCAAGTTCGATTCGGTTCAGTACGGTTATTCGGTTAATAATCGAAATAGTCACCCTCGTCCATATCGCGACAAGCAACCTCGATAGTCAACACTTTTTTTTGGCGCTATAATTACGTATTGCATATTATATATTTGCAAACGCATAGAAATTTTTGCAGAAATATGAATTTATAATATAAACTATAAATTTGTGCAGAAACACTAACACTGCATTCCGTAATAATTGTGGAGAAAGCAAGATTTCATCATGTACATATGGCATAATATTTCACGAGTAATGGGGAAAAGGCCGAAACTTTCGTAACAAAACCATCACAAATGAAGCTTTTTGGGAGTTTGTTTAAAACCCACAAAAAGCTTTTCATTGCTGTTCATAAAGCACCACGAGTGAGAATCTAAAGACAAGACACGACAAATCCCATTGGATAAACTAAAACCTAAGTCAGAAACTTCAATCTGGAAAGGAAAAGACAGAGATACCCTTGACCGGTCGATCATGAAGTTAGAGTGATCCAGCAATTGAACTGTTGACGGCTGTGGATTTTTTCCCAAACGAGTTCACATCCAGAGCCGAGAAACATGAAACCCACCAAGTGTAATGTGGCTTGATTTTGATCTCAACTTTTCCCACCCTGAAGAACAACACATGATCAGGAAATAAGCTCTAGCCAAATCATGAATGTCGCAAAACTGATTTCAAGTATTATAATATGTTGAACACTGCTTATAAGGGCCTTACCTTGCGAGGCGGAGTTCCGGGCCTAGATGCATTCTTGCCGAATCCAGGCTTCCCTTTCTTTTCGGATGCCTTGAGGATCTGAAACGAGCAGGTCAAGGAATCATCCACGCTCATCATTGCGCCCGCGTTATCAAATTCTCCACAATAGTTTGGGGCAGAGAATATGGTCACTAGCTGCCTATTTGCAAAGAACTCGTAACCGTCTTCCACTACCTAAGTGGAAACATCAACTTTCAATGAGTTATAAGAGAACACAAAATAACAGAAATCATCAGCAAGAGAACGTCTTCTGCATCATCAAGCTACAGAAACAACACACATCAGTGAACATTTTGGTAGCATAAGATGGGAATGAACATTTTTGCTCATAGGTTGAAGAAAAAACAGTATTTCAAAGCTAACTGAATGATTTGTCACAGGCCAATGTTGGCAGGGCTCGAAGGATAGTCTCCCGAAATTACCTGATGAGCTCTGCAGATTAGGTCAAGGTCCTGCTCTTGGAGGAACTCCTCTACCTTATCAGCCCCAAATGTAAAAGACACACCTCTGTCATTCTCTCCCCATCCGTCCATGTCCTTATCGGGATCAGACCACAAGAGATCACATAGTAGTCCATTGTCAGGAATGTCAATAGGACGAGCAATGTTCCGGATCAGATCCAAGTTCTTCAACTCAGGGGATAGCCCACCATGCATGCAGAGGATCTTTTCGTCAACAAGGGCAGCAACAGGCAGACAGTTAAAGCAGTCGGTAAATGTCTTCCATATACGTACACTAAATCTCCTTTTGCATTCATCATAAAATCCATATATGCGGTTTATAGAGGCGCACTCATGATTCCCTCTGAGAAGAAAGAAGTTCTCTTTGTATTTGATCTTGTAGGCAAGAAGGAGGCATATGGATTCTACGCTCTGTTTTCCACGATCTACATAGTCCCCAAGGAACAAATAGTTGGCAGCTGGTGGGTAACCACCATACTCAAATAACCTCAGAAGATCAGAGAACTGCCCATGAATATCTCCTGCCAAAACACAGAAACTGCACAGTTACAAGGAGCTTAACAAGTTATTAACTGTACAGACAAAACCCCGAACTGCAAACATACACAAGCATGAGCTACCACCAGAGATTATATTAAACACGATGCACTAAGCTGGATTTAAGCAGCTATTGAGTTCTTCCATCAAATGTGATACATGTACAAAAGGCTACAGTGGGTATAGGAGTAAATCGACATAAAGGTTATGCTTCATGTGGCCAAGCAAATTCAAAAGAATATTGCAATATCAGTTTCGATATCAAGAATGACAGAAACTTCGTCGTTACAATTTATACTGGTCATCTCATGACAAAAGTTAGAGGCATGCCCGCGTGATGAAAATGAAAGATCATTCAGAACCGTGATTTCTGTCCCTAAAGAACAATGTCATAGATAACAAGCATTATCATATCACCGAATGTCTCGTTATTCCTGATCAAACTAAGAACAACCTTATCAGAAACAACAGAATCAACCCTTTAATACACATTTCTCTGAATTTCGACAACCCAATTACGTAATAACCATAAAGCTAAAACGAGCACAGATTCTTCTTCACTAAAACCATTACATTCCACGTTTCTCAATCAAACACATCGACAGAGCTAAACTGTACCCTCAAATTCAAAATTTTCAAGCAAAATAAATGAATGAAGGAATGAACAAGGGAGAAGCTAATAGTATGAGAACATCCTCAGGTTATGTTTATCATCAATACCACAGATCTTAATAGGAGCCTCAAGTTCTAGAAGATTCGGCTGGCTAAGGAAGACCTGCTTCGCCCTGCCGTATCTCCGCTTCCGTCAGCTGCACCTGCTTCGTCGTTCTCCCGTTCTTCGCCCCCAACAACCTCTTTATTATATCGTCGACCAATCCCTCGTCCATCAAAACCAACGTCACACCAGATACAAAACCCTAAATCCAACCACAATCAAAACAACGAAACCCAGAAACAGCCCAAATCAGGTCGACACCGAAAGATACAACTTTTCCGGCGACACAACGCAGTCTCCAGCAAAGGGTCCTCCGGTAAGTCTCCTTCGATCACCAATACACAAAGAGAGAGAGAGAGAGAGAGAGAGAGAGAGAGAGAGAGAGAGAGAGAGAGATTGCTGGAACTGAAACGGAGCCCTAGGAGAAACCGGCTTTTGGGGGCGGGGACGAAGAAAATAATAGAGAGAAGGAAGGAACGCGCGGCACGTGCGATTGGACTGGTCACGATTCGCAATAATTTTATTAGTCACTTTTGAAATCGTCGTGTCTTTGATGTTTTATAATTTGACTTTTAGATATAATGTGTCATTAGGAACATTATGGATAAAGTATATGTAAATATATAATACATATTTTTTTCAATGTATTAAATTTAAGATAACATATTAAAATCCAAAGCTATCAAAGCGGTTCCACGTCTGAAACATGATTTACTTTTTTTTTTTTTTTTTGATAATCGGGTAATCCCAGGCCCAAAGGCCCCAGACTAATCCCGATCCACACGCACAACCGGCACCACACGTGTGGGATGTGAAGCAACCGAAGGTGGCCGGAGGGGAAATCTCCATACCCTGGGTGTTGAACCCACGACCTCTTGTTCAGGAAGTGGGCTCTCAAACCAACAGAGCTGGGGGAGATCCCCTTATGATTTACTTTTTATGTTCAAAGAACACAATATTTAGTGAATGAAAGACTCTATTTAGTGAATGAAGTCTATAATATTGTTCTAAACAAGGTAAAAGAGGTAAGTCTAATGTTTGGAATGTTTGTTTGTTTGGAGAAGAGAATGTAAGAAGATGTCTTACTTTGATTTCTTGGATACCACCAAGTGATGATGTGATAGCGGTAAATACATATAGAGTCACAAACTACTATTTCATTGATATCCCTTTTACGCTGCGAAATTTGGTTCACAAATATCAAAAAACGATAAAAAAAAATTGATCTGTGAAATTCAAAAAAATATATCGAGAAACAAATACAGTTTGCTGATTATTTGGCGAAGTCTGTATTAGAAGTAGAATTGGGTTTGAAAATCTAACGACAGATTCGATGAATTCCTCCGAATACATGCAGGTGATATTATTTTAATTTATTTATATGCTTTACTGTAATAATATCAGTAAATTTTGATCGTTAGGTGAAAACGGACTGATGTAAACTATTTCATTTTTGCTAATTTTGCAAAGTTTATGAGATATATAAAAATAAATAATTTTAAGAAAAAAAAAAGCAAGATGACAAAGATTATATTAGAACGACGAGTGGTTGAGTCGTTGATTTATGGTGGGCCCATCTTTCTAGCTTTATTGGGTACCTCTTCCGAACAAAGCATAAGAGCGCGTCGAAGGACGCACACGAACAAAGACGAAGTAACTTCGGTGGTGGAAGCAACACCTTCTACCGACCACTCGGCCCGGAAGTTTCGGGCTCGGGCTCGGGCCGGCCCGATTTTTTTCGGGCCTATATACTTATGGGTCCAATTGACTGAATTATTCGCAGAAACATATAATGATGTTCGAAAAGGTACAATACCCAACGAGGTGAAACAACTCAAACACAGGAGCTGATATTATTCAAACCAGACTATGGCAAAAAGCACAAGTTTTACACAAGAAGCAGAAGAAGATAAGTGAAATGGGTCGATGACCTTATTGATGGTAGTCAGGTAATGGTCTTCGACGGCTTCAGTCCCAAATCCGACCCGAGATACCTCCCTTGAAAGTGTCCACCCGACGTCGACGAATGTCATGCAATAAGTATGCTATAAGAGGTACAGCTGCGATCCATGTAGCACATACCGGATAGGCCAACTCCAATATGAACGATCCGACATCTTCTCTTGGATCTTCCGAGTTCGGAAACGTATAGGCAAATGATCCGAGGTTAGAAATCCCGAGAGCCACGATCGAACCGCAGAGAACTGTCCAGGTCGGGAGTCCAATGATGAAGAAAATGATCACGGCCATGGACGAGAAGAAGGAGACTCCGTTGAAACCGTAGAAAAATATCGCGGGATCGAAGTTCATCGTCATCTGGCCAGCCACATGCTGTTCTGTGGCATCATCCGAGCTCGAGGAAGAGTCGTCTTGCCAATATCCGCCGGGTGGGCTGAGACCGGCCTGATACGTGGCCGTGGCTATCAGTATGGCCACGACAAGAACTGAGCTCTGGATATCGCTTTTGTCTCTGGTTCTTTTCCTGCTGCTGTTGAAATTGCTCAGTCCCAACAGTTTGTTTCGTCTCTCGAAAATCGACAGATTTTGCATCAGATACTCCGGAAGGGTTCTGGTCGGACCGGTCAGTTCTTTCGCCTCTTTCGCTTTGGCACCTCGGAGGATTTTGGCGATGTCTGGATTCAGAGAAGATTGTTTACTTTGGAATATGTCCAAAGCAGTCTTCTCCTCGAAGTTCTTCGCGTTTACGTGGACTTTCTTGCACAGCAACTTCACGGCCTGCATGAGATGAACCACGTATATGTACACCATAGATATATGTGTGTGTGTGTGTATGGAGAAACTCTGATAAAACTGTGAACGTGCGGAAATATACGGAATAACTAAATAATTTTTTTTCAAAAAAAAAAACTAAATAATTTTTTAAACTTTTAAGTAAATATTAAATTCCAGCGGATGATGTCACCTGACTCCGTACGATGTCGTCATCGTTCGTGGGAAATTTGAGTTTGGAAAGGTGAGCGTTTATTATTTAAAAGTTTCATATTCTATATATTTATGTGGTATATTTAACAAATTCATGGTTTTATATAGTGACATTTTAATGAACCAGAAAACATAATTTTTTTTTTGCAGTTTTACAGGAGTTCGTGGGATATATATATATATATATATATATGTCATGCATCAGTATATATTAATACAAGATGAATAAATTTAATTTTTTTAAAAAAAGAATAAAAAGGGTGTAACAAATACCTCGATTTGATCCATAGATGTAGCAACATGGAGTGGAGTGTTGCCATCTTCATCCTTCCAATTCAACATCTCCACTTGGTTATCCCTTTGAAGCCATCCGACAAGAACCCTAAACGCATCAAACTGACGGTTCTTCAGGGCGACGAGTACAACTGTCTCGCACTTGATCGTCAAATCTTCGACGGAAGAAGGGCAAGCGGACAAGAACTCGCTCAACAGGTTGGGTCCTCCTGTCTGAGCCGCGTAATGCAAAGGCGTCATCCCCCCTCTTCCTTTGATCCTTATCAAGTTACTATCTACGGACATAAACCCTCTCACTGTCCGAAAACGTTTGTTCTGTAGAGCCAAATGCATCGGGCTGAGACCTGACTCGTCTAGCTTCCGAGCGTATTGGGGTTTCAAGTTCATCATCTCCATTGCGAAATGGGTATGCCCTTCTCACGCTGCCACGTGGAGAGGCGTCTTACGAAGCTCGGTTCGATCAAACTCGTCTAGAATGTTCCTGCTGTCTTTATTGGCAAGGCAACGGTATAATGACTCGATATCTCCGGATCGAGCCATGGAACCGATATCGATACCTTCATGATCCTTGGCCATTGCAATCATTCTGTTTTTTTTATATGGTTAGAAGATGTTGTTTTGATGATGGCGATCATGACACCCTAAACGCATCCATCCAGTCCCCACAAAGGAAGGAGGCGAACAACATGTCATACTTTCTTGCAAAACCTAACCTGTTTGTTTCCCGAGAAAACCAAAGAAAAGAAAACGAAAGTCGAGAAGAAGAAGATTTCCCAACACAACCACAACTAAATTGTAACTGTATGGGCTTGACAACGGTGTTCTAAAAACAAACCTAAAAGCTTTCTCCACCTCCCTCAAGCATATGAACATGTGTATAGTATAACTAAGGCAGCACTTCTAAACAGACCTTCAGAGCTGAAGATCAATGTCAACAAAATTAAACATAGAGAGAGCCCCCATTAGTCACTGAAATTTGATACAGCAAAAAAAGGGTAGAAGAAAGACAGCTTTTATCTATCGCCTCCTCATTCCACGGCCGCGACCACGACCTCTGCCCATCGCACTAGCAGCTGCTTCTCCTTGTGCGCTCTCCGACTGCGTTTTCAATTTAAAAACAAAAAACGAAATTTCACACCGTTGTAAGAACAGGACAGGCTAAAACCACATCTATTACCTTAGGGTTTTTCACAGTTTCATCCACGCTTAAAATGAGGCAAGCTGCTGCAGTAGCAGCGTTTATTGCGTTAATCTGCACCAAAAAGAAGTTTCATGACTCATGAGAAAAAAAAAAAAAGAACCCATCAACAAGTGAAATGATAACCCATTCATATATATATATATATATATATATATATGTGTGTATATTAAAATTCTAGTTTTATCAACCTTAGAGACGATTACAAAAACATTAAATTTACCTAAATAGGCATCGGAATTTTTAAAAAGTAAAAAAGAAAAAAGGAGCGGTCAAAATTAGAAAATCTTATAAAATTAGTAAATTACAACGGGTGGGTGAACATCCCGAGTAATCTTTTTAATCAGAATGACAAATTTTCCGCGATATCATTTAATACCAAATAAATAAAGTCTAAGATTGAAAAGTTTAAACAATAATATTAAATCTTAAGAAGAGAAAAAAATACAAACATGTGTTTATATATACAAAATATATAAATTTATTTGATTTTTGTAACGGGGGTTGGTGGAGTATTTAAATCAAAACCCTCTATCCGTAGTTAAAATTAATTCAATGATATTGGGATAACGTATGGGGCAAGTTAGATTAGTTGGTAACTAAAATTGAAGAAAAATGGTGTGTAATAAATATTCAACATTGTTATGCGAATAGTTATTTTTAAACAGTATTATATAACACGTATATTGCATCTTATAAAATGTTTAGAATTTTTATAGTATCTTTTGTTATGTGCGTATTGTTTCTAGTAAATATAGAAACGTTTGAGTTTTTTCATGATTTTTTGGATTTGTATTTTTTTTAAATATACATTAGCAAAAAAGGATAACCCTGAATTCGATTTAAATTATTTAGTTATAACTTTATTTAAACCAAGTTAAATGAATTCAAATTAAATATAAATATCTAACAAACTAAATAAAACTAATAACGTTATAACAAATAAATATTTTTTCAACAAAAATAAATTTAAATCGAACTGAACACAGTAAAAACATAATAAACATAAGTTTTTTATAAAAAAAAAACTTAATGTAAAGATAATCTAAATCGAAAACATCTACCAATAGACTCCACGCATTCAAGGAACATTAAAAACCAAATTTAAAAAGATACCTTATTTATTAGTGAAAAATATAGAAAGAAAGGGTCAATATTTCTCAAATTCTATTATTTTCCAAACATGATTTCTATGTATGTATATATATATATATATATATACATATTGTCTACTACAAATATAAGAAACGAATCACCTAACAAAACAAAATTGGCGTAAATTAGGTGGAACTCTTACGTGAATGTATATATAATCAAAAGGAGATGATGTAAGAAACATATAAAAGCATGTAATATAATTAGATATCAATGCATGGATTATAATATTATAGATATAAAGTTACATGGAGACTAAATAAACCAGACAAAGTATTCGATTTTTCTTTCTCTCTTGGTTTGTTGCAAAGTCATTATCTTTAAACACGTCCTCATTCATGTTATCATATACCAAAGTGTGTGTACGTAGGTGTTGAAAACATCGTAAACATGCTCATGCATACATACATATATACACACATACATACATGCATGCATACGCACCCATACATACACACATACATATACTATAGGGATATATATGTAATTATCAGGAGTATAGTTAACCCTAATACACTTGTATAAATATGTTTGCTAATGTTAATGAGAAGGTTACGTGTTCAAACCTATTATATACATATACATCGGAAACATACCCTGTTGAGATCACAGCACAAATAATTTATTTAAAAAAAACGACATATAGGCATATACTCACAAGCATGCATATATATACATATATGTATTTATATTTCCATCATGCAATGAACAACGCAACAATTACAATAGATGATGTCGCAGTGATTAGAATGTACGGATCTTTTTTTAATAGGGCTTGAATATAACTATATGAAGAAGGGACCGGTTGGTCCATTTTTACAAGGTTGTATAAATTTATTCCTCTATATATCCGACCGTATGTATGAGTGTGTGTATATATATATATATATATATAATATGAATAATGCATGTTTCACACAAGCTTGATGGAATCTTAACTTGTTCGAATTTTCAACTCACTAGCCGTCACAGGCTGTAACGCTACTCAATCATCTCCATAATTTTATATTATATAGATACATTTAGTATGATTTTTATCATTAATAGCCTACAGTGCTCACATCCTATATTAATCAGTTGTGCCCAAATTAGATAAATATGTCCAAAACATTTTCCACGCAAATTTTACCATTATCGGCTGGCTTTCATTAATTGTTGTAATCAAAATGATATATATATATATATATATATATGATAACCGGTCTCTATAGTTTTTTCCATGTGTATCAATGTTAGAGTAATAAATAATTTATGTTTTATGAACAAAAAACTAAGTCATCATAAGAATGAACATGAATTTTGAAGAATAATAACTATATATATATATCATTAGAATTTCCTCACACCATGAAATATCGATGATTTGTCGTGTGAAAAAGCATTAGTGAGAGTAATAATAACACATGAACCAGTGTCAAATTACTTTCCAATTCAGACAGAATCTTTCAGCCTTCAAAATTCAAAGTCGTCCCTTTTCCTCTACTTACAATCACAAAATGGTATAAAACGCGTTCACGACCGAAAAGGAAAGGCAAAAATAATTCACACACACACACACACACACATATATATATATATATATATGTGCGACCCCATATATAGGAAAAGAAAGAGAGTGAGAGACAAAGGTCATACATATGTATATACATGCATTCATTCATTCATCACGTGGTCGCATTTCCAAAATGTTAAAAAAAAGAATGTGATCAATATATGGTAGTATATATTACTTTTAACCATATTAATTAAGATAGTATATAACACGGCCATTATCCAGGGTTTATAGTGTTATATGTATGATTAAATAGCTGTCCGACAATATTCAATCAAACACTCGACTTCAACTTCATGAAACAATTAATTTGTTCATTATTAATTTACCTTAACGTCTGAACGCCGTGTGTAATAAAACTATAGCCTAATCAATGTGGCCAAACATCCTCTTAGCCCAACCCACATACACAAATGCCCCAACATGCTTAGTACATGTGTGTGTGTGTATATATATATATATATATATATTAAATTTCTATTTAAGAAAATCGGTAAAAATTTACACTAGAAATTACAGCTTGAAATTGTCCTCTCTCTCTCTATATATATATATATATATGTGTGTGTGTGTCATTTAAATTTTAAAATTATGAATTGAAAGCATATTCCGTCTTCCTTTTTCCCGGTCCCGATCGTCCTCCGTCGTCTCTGTTCTCTCTCTCTCTATCCGTCAACGTTGTCTCTTTCGTGCTTTCTTTTGTGTTTTCTCTCTCTCTCTCTTGTTTGTGGATCACTTTCTCTATCGTTCTCTATATAGTACAGAGCTGCGCAGCGCGTGATTATGGCTTTCCCCACTGATTCTCTACGCGTTTGAATACTCCATTTCTCTCTCCAACGATTCCACCAACCTCTATATGCAACGTGTATATACCTCCAAGCCTCCCAAGCAACACTTGGCCCTCGTGGAACCGATCCGATCGTAGGACTCTTCGATCTATCCATTAATGAGGCCGATCTCCAAGCTCGATCGTCGCCGGTGGTCCTTTGACTCCGTTGCCGCCGGAAGAATCTCCGCCGAGAGCGCATCCACGTCTCCGGGGACTGAGTGCTCCAACGGTGCCGGCGAGGAGTTCGTGGAGGTCACCATCGATCTCCAGGACGATGATACAATCATTCTCCGAAGTGTTGAGCCGGCGACCGGCATTAATATCGAAGTCTCTCACGATGAAGCAGTTTCCGCCGGAGCGGGATCGGCGACTCCAGCGTCGGTTCCGAGATCTCGGCGGATGAAGCGGAGCCCGTCGAGCCGGCTCCGGCAGTTCTCACAGGAGCTCAAAGCTGAGGCGGTGGCGAAGGCGAGGCAGTTCTCGCAGGAACTTAAGCGATTCACGTGGTCTCGCTCGTTTTCCGGTGCATCTTCGGCGGCGGCGCAGAACGGTGGAGGTGGAGGTGGACTAGTGAACTCGGCTCTGGAGGCTCGAGCCTTGCGGAGACAGCGCGCTCAGCTGGATCGAACTCGGTCCGGTGCTCAGAAAGCGCTTCGTGGCTTGAGATTCATCAGCAAAAAGAACAAGAACGTCGATGCGTGGAACGAAGTTCAGCGCAATTTCGAAAAGCTTGCCAAAAATGGTTATCTCGACCGCTCCGATTTCGCTCAGTGCATAGGTCTGATCCGAAACCACCTATTCTTCATGAAAACTCGAATTTATGGGTGACGTTTTTGGCTCGTTTTTTGTTTTTTGTTGAAAATTTCGCTCCGAAATTCGAGATTTCTTTAACTTTCAAATTTCTCGATGAGCTTCAGTTTTTTTATATTATGAATTTTGTTTGTTCAGTTCCAGATCTTTACATTGTTCGACACACAGTTCGTGATTATTTTGCTCTTCTGTTTTCCCAGGAATGAAAGATTCGAAGGAATTTGCATTGGAAGTGTTCGATGCATTGAGCAGGAGAAGGAGATTGAAGGTTGAGAAAATCAGCCGCGAGGAGCTTTACGAGTACTGGTCCCAGATCACCGATGAAAGCTTCGATTCTCGCCTCCAGATCTTCTTCGACATGTACGTAACCAAAAACACTTCTATAATTACTTAACGATTAATTAATAACCCCACTAATCTTATTTTACTCATTAATTAATCATTAGCACAAAAGTTCCTTTAAACTAATGACAGTTTTGGTTAAAAACATTTATATTCATCCGCTGCCGCTGGTTTCCTTTCCAAATCCTATGTTTTAACAATTCCAGATTAGGGGGATTGCATAGTTTCATCATAATGATAATTATAATCTGTATTACACTGTTAAGCCTAGTAGATGAGATGGAATGGTCTACAGCATGTGTGCACAAATTATTGTTCCCCGATGAGTATGTTTTATTACAATTTAATGTTTGACTTTGATTTGTAATTAATACGATGATCATAATCAATCAATCCTCTTATATATTTATTGTCGGATATTGCAGGGTGGACAAAAATGAAGATGGCAGAATCACGGAGGTGGAGGTAAAAGAGGTAAAAAAAAACTAGTTTTTTTTCTTCAGGAAACCAATTATTTTTTATAAATACTATTCATTAATCATCGAATAATCAGATTTTATTTTCCCTGAGATTCGGTGAAATATGAAAACTGGGTCTGATAGTCAAGTAAGAGCTTTTTTGACGAAATTTAGAGGGTGCCTTTTTTTTTTCTTGTACATACTCGAGTTAGGCGAGGATTTGGTGACCCTAAATCGCATGGAATGCTGATATGCTAACTACTCCAACTTAAAATAAAGGAATTTAAGTGCAAATTTCATTGTCTTTTGATGTTACCCATGTTCTCAAGATTCGTCTGTGACTTAGCCACTTAGGGTGGTATTATCAATAAGTAGGGTTAGAAACTTAGAATTAGTTATAGAAATATAATCAGTAATCGAATTCGTTTTTGTTTGATGGTTTTGACTTATATTCAAATAAATGTAATGAAATGTTTTTTTTGGTATTAGTGGTGACGGTGAGTCGGTGACGCGCAGTCTATTTGCCCAAACTATTTCACAAATTTCTAATTCGATATATGTAAAAAAATATTATCGTTTTGTCTTAACATTTTAAATTTGGACAGATTATCATGCTAAGTGCGTCTGCAAATAAGCTATCAAGATTGAAGGAACAAGCAGAGGAGTATGCAGCCTTGATCATGGAAGAGTTGGACCCTGAAAGGCTTGGCTACATAGAGGTGGGTCATTACACACACAATATGCTCTTTATCTTTAAACACGGAACAGTTGAATTTCCACAATCGCACGTTCCTCTGTTTGCATGACGTGTCGATTTTGTGCATATTTTATTTCAGATTGCCTTTATTTTTGTTGCTCAAACAGAATAAAGTATTCTAACCACCGTTCACAAATAGAATTCGGCCGTCCGGATTGTGTATTGACCTCATATTTATAGAAGAGAGGAAATTTATTTAGCTTCCCTTTTCATGAAATTAATTTGTCTGCTCCCAATTCATTCTTTATATTTGTTGTTAGAATCTAGAGTTGTTTGCTGGGTGAAAATGCGTGGATTTTTATAATATCTTAAAATCATTGAATGGAAAAATTGTGGCTTAAGAACAAGGGTAGACCAGAGTACCCTGCATCCCCAAAAAATAAGGTAGATCACCTTATTCGTAGCTCAAATTTGACAGCCAATTATAAAACCAATGAATAATCTGATCACATAAAACACACTTTGCTAGAAATGGAATAGTTTCTTGGTTGATTGCTTTGCATGACGTGTAATTATTTCCTAAGCCATGTGGGTGTAGCAAATTCCTAGCGTGCCAATTATATCATGCATCAGATGTCAAATTTGGATCATAGGGGGTCAATGATGCATCATTCGTCTCACGAGGTAAAAGAGAATTGGAAAAAATGTCATGTAATTCATTGCTTTATGTTGTTTGGAACATTTGTCTCACTGAAATCATGAGTTTGATCGAGACGTGCTGCTCCAGTACTTTATGCATTTTGTGATTGTGATCCATCGAGTCAATTCCTTCCCACATGATTCCAGGGATTTGACATACTTATTGCTTTGTCAATAATGTAGCTATGGCAGCTAGAGACGTTGCTTCTGCAAAAAGACACTTATCTGAATTACAGTCAAGCACTCAGCTACACAAGTCAAGCACTGAGCCAAAACCTTCAGGGTTTGCGGAGGAAAAGCCGAATACAACGATTTAGCTCAGATTTTGTCTATTTCTTGCAAGAGAATTGGAAGAGGATCTGGGTTTTGACACTGTGGATCATGATCATGATCGGATTGTTCTTGTGGAAATTCCTCCAATATAAGCAGAAAGATGCATTTGCTATCATGGGCTATTGCCTTCTCACAGCAAAGGGCGCGGCTGAGACTCTGAAGTTTAACATGGCTCTGATCCTTTTCCCTGTCTGCAGAAATACTATTACTTGGCTCAGGTCCACAAAGCTTGCTTATTTTGTGCCCTTTGATGATAACATCAACTTTCACAAGGTTAGTACCACCACAAGTTTCTCTACTCTTTTATTTTTTATTTTTTTGGTTTCTTGTTGTCTACGTTTAGCGTTTACGGACCCATAAGCTTTCTTTTCGTGACTCGAGTCAAAACACTATAAATCATCCCCTTCGAACACAATGAATAACTTAACTTTATTTCTTACACTCAGCAAGTGGTGATAAAAGCTAAGATGTGGGCACATTGATCTGTACACGCACTGGAAGTTGACAACTAAATGGCCATTCCAGCTTTTCGCTTTCACTGTTACCTTGTATACCTTATCAATAATGACTGGGAGAGAAAACGGAGGGAGAACTAGTTTTGTCTGTTTCTCTTGAGATTTTTATTACCGCTAGGGAAAATTTAATTAATTTTGACAGTTTTATAGACTACCATATCTGAGGTTCAACATTAAGGTACATGGAACCAAAGTAATTGGAATATAGGTATAGAAGCTGACATTGAAATTATTAAGCTCAATTTCGCTGCTCTGTATCTACCTGTAATTAGTGTATCTCACGGCTCTCAGTTGTTATGCAGACCATTGCTGGAGCCATTGTAGTAGGAGTGATTCTTCACGTTGGAGACCATCTGGCCTGCGATTTTCCAAGACTGATAAGCTCCGATGAATACCGATATGACCGCTACTTGTTTCATTACTTTGGACCGAAAAAGCCCACGTATTTCGACCTTGTTAAAGGCCCCGAGGGCATCACAGGGGTTCTTATGGTCATTCTAATGGCCATTGCTTTCACTTTAGCTACAAAATGGTTCAGACGGAACCTCGTCAAGCTGCCAAAGCCATTCGACAGGCTCACTGGTTTCAACGCCTTTTGGTATTCACATCACCTTTTCGTCATTGTCTACATCCTTCTCATCATCCACGGTGTATTCCTCTATCTCGTGAACAAGTGGTACCTTAAGACGGTAAAAATCTTCATTCCCCTGCATTTGGTTGTGTTTTAAAACAAAGATGATGACAATATCTTATTAATGCCTGCAGACATGGATGTATCTTTCAGTCCCAATCTTACTATATTGTGGAGAGAGGACCCTTAGGTACTTCCGTTCTGGTTTCTACACCGTACGACTTCTAAAGGTAACAACCAAAAAAACAATCCGTTTGACCCTTAGTTCTTCATTTTCATCCCTTGCATCAACACATTCTGATTGTGCTTTTTTCCTTATGATTCAGGTTGCTATATATCCTGGGAATGTCCTGACTCTGCAAATGTCAAAGCCATCTCAGTTCCGTTATAAGAGCGGGCAGTACATGTTTGTTCAGTGTCCCGCGGTTTCTCCATTCGAATGGTAAAAAAAACTTTATTTATTTACGGATAAAAAATTAATGCATCGAGTGTTGATCATCGTCCCTTTTTTATTGGTTGATAGGCATCCGTTTTCAATTACGTCGGCCCCTGGGGATGACTATCTCAGCATCCACATTCGGCAACTCGGCGACTGGACACAAGAGCTCAAAAGAATGTTCTCCGAAGTCTGTGAACCTCCGGTAGCCGGTAAAAGCGGTCTTCTCAGAGCTGACGAGACAACAAAGAAAAAGTAAATCAAACTCCTATAAAAACCCTCTTTGCATTGTCTTAACTGTTTGATTAGTAAACCAATACTGATCCTCGTTAATGTCTTTTTTTTTTTTGCATTGTCTAATTAACAGTTTGCCAAAGCTGTTGATAGATGGGCCGTACGGTGCTCCTGCTCAAGACTATCGGAAATATGACGTCCTATTACTTGTTGGTCTTGGCATCGGTGCCACTCCATTTATCAGTATCCTGAAAGATTTGCTCAACAACATCATCAAAATGGAGGAGCAAGCGGTAATAACAACAACAACATCTCCCTTAATCAAATCTTCATTTTTACCAAACTAAAAACACTATTGCGATTTTTTTTTCTTTTTGTATTTACAGGATTCAGTCTATGACATGAGTAGAACATCAGAGCATAGTAGCATTGGAAGCAATGATAACTCATCCAATAGAGTTTCCCCAAAACGGAAGAGAATCCTAAAGACCACAAATGCATACTTCTACTGGGTGACAAGGGAACAAGGTTCCTTCGACTGGTTCAAAGGAGTCATGAATGAAGTCGCAGAGCTCGACCAAAGGGTACGTAAAAACATCCTCAAGAATCTTTTGGAGACAATTATTCTCCACCCAATTTGGCTGGAAAATGTGTTTTTTTTAATAGTTCGAAACGATTTTAGGGTGTCATAGAAATGCATAATTACTTGACGAGCGTCTATGAAGAGGGAGATGCCCGATCCGCTCTCATCACCATGGTCCAAGCCCTAAACCACGCCAAGAACGGAGTCGACATTGTCTCTGGCACCAGGGTGACTATTCTTATTCATACACTCTCTCTCATATATATTGATTCTAAAGTCGATATCTAGGAATTCACCCTCAACATTTGCAGTAGTCTGGTGCACACTTATAAAGTAATTAAAGTAGTTCCTGAGATATTCAGGGATTTTACTCCACATATACTCGAAAAAACACGGTGTCTGGTCCATGTTCTAAAGGAAGAAAAGAGAACAAACAGATAGGAAGAAGACAATCCATACGGATAGATTTCTAGAAACTGAATCTTACATATGTGGAATCCAGGTAAGAACACACTTTGCAAGGCCCAACTGGAAGAAGGTTCTGTCAAAGCTGAGTTCCAAGCACTGCAATGCAAGGATCGGTAACATGAACAAGTCACTAATCTCTGATATATAGATATGACATTTAGAATTTCCTTTTTTTTTTTAATCAATTGATCAGAAAAAAACCAAAACATTGTTTTTTTTAAAAATGTGAACAGGAGTGTTTTACTGCGGAGCACCGGTTTTGGCTAAAGAGCTAAGCAAGCTCTGCAACGCATTCAACCAAAAAGGTTCCACAAAGTTCGAGTTCCACAAGGAGCATTTCTGATAAAGTTACTCCTCTATACCCCTTTTTTTTTACAATATAAAGAGAATAAACTCTCGTGTTAACGTTTAATATCCCTAAACTAATAGGGTTAATACCGATGTAACGTGTAAATAGAGGGGAGAGAAAGGGGAAATAGTAAATTAGATTTGTCACAGAGAATAGACATTTCCCAAGACTTTTTTCTGTGTTTGCTTGCATAGCAAGCAAAGGAGAGAGAAAACACAGGGGGGAGGAGGAGGAGAGGGTTGGTGAGGGAAAGGGACTTGGGAGGGAGGTCGTAATCCGACGTTGTTTTACGCAACGGGTAGGGAAGTGCGGTACAGCTGCAAACAGGACAAGCAAGGAATAGACGACATGGAAGATGACAATGTTTGAAAAGAGAAGTATTATTATTATTATATTATTATTATTAGTGGTATTCAAATTTTGGTTTTTTTATACATTTGAGTGGAGTTGTTGGGTGGGAGAGAGAGGGAGGGAATCTTTATCCTTCTAGAATGTCAAAGAGGAAGTCAGATCAGAATACGATTAGAACACTATTATTATTGTAAGATGTAAATACCAAATTTTCAGTCGCTTAATTTTCCAATTGTATTCATATTATGCTTTTAAGATCCCCTTTTGATTCCATTCAATATCAGAATTTTGCCTCTTGCATTAACTTTTTATCTGTCGTTTTTCTTTTTTGCTACGAAGGATTAAAAAAATGTCTGACTGAACGCAGTGCTATGTTCTAATATATAAGCATAAATACGAAAATTTTAATAACAATAGTATTAAATAATTTTACTGAATTTGTATGTTTTTCTTTTCATTTGATATATTTAGCTTGTTTAAAAAAGTTATTCAAACGAAAAGAAATATAAGAAATACCTGTTAAATATAAAGAATGGTGACGCGATATTCGTAATGACCAACCAAGATGAGGCCCCAAAAAAGCCCAAAGGATTCAAAGATTGATCTTCTTTCGGAGCACATGCACATCAATATTTTTCTCAGATTTCAAAAGCCAAACTTTGGCCCATTTTTAATAGTGGGCTTTACGGAAGCCCATGAATAAAAACATGGACCCCAAACTAGGAAATTCGAAAACTATCGTATAAAATCTTTACGTGGAAGGGCATTATTCAGCAAACTCATCACGGAATAATATAATAACCAAGCATTATAGGAAAATATTTATTTTCTCAATTTTTAATGCAATTAAAAAAATTATACTTTGTATTGCTCGTAATATAACAAATATTCAGCTCACTGTATAGGGATTGCAGTTGAGAGGGTTATTAATATTAAGCATGAGCTCGTGACGCGGTCTGATCACATATCTATCATATTAAGAAATTAATTATTTTTTTTTTTATAATACGGAAAGTTTACCGAAAAAGAAATTAATTATTAATAAAACAAATACGGAAATAAAATAAATAATTCCATGACAGAATAAAAAAAAAAATCAAACTGCTCAGTTAGGACCCCAAACCAGACTTTTAAAAGAGCCACCGTGTAGACGGAGCCGACGTAGAACGACCTCTCCTCTTTCATTCAATACCATTGCGCCACGTGTCCACAAACCCTTCCTTTTTAACGGCCTTACACTTTCGTCTTCTCTTGTTCTTCTTCGTCTTCCTCTGAACTCGAAACATGGCCGAGGAACGGGTCAATTTAGCTCCGGTTGGAATCTACGGCCGAAGCGACGAAGAAATCAGCCGGGAAATTTTTCGGAAATCAGAGGAAGAACCAGGCAAGTGCCTCGTTTATGTTCTTGCAACCGTCGTAATCTCCTTTGGTGTTTTTCTCATCCTTGCCCAAATCTTTCTCCGAATCACGAGTCCGAAAGTCGAATTGCTATCCGTCTCAGTCCGAAACCTGCGTCTGGGTAACTCCTCAAATCCTTACTTGAACGCCACGCTAGTGAAAGAGATTGCGATCAAGAACCCTAATTTCGGGGACCTCGAGTACGTGAGCAGTACGGGAAGTGTGGTGTATGAGAACATCGCGATCTTCGGACAGATAAAGATCGATGGAGGAAGAGTTGAGGCTCGGAAGACGACAAAATTGAACGGTATCGAAGTGGAAATCGCATCGAACGGTTCGAATACGGCATTGGGATTGGGGTTCATGGATCTGAGAAGCGTTGCTGAAATTAAGGGCAGAGTTCATGTGATCGGAAGGAGAGAGTGGAAGATAGGCCGGATGAGCTGTACCATGAAGCTTAACTTTACCGCCCGGCTTATTCAGGATTTATCGTGTGACTAACGGTTTGGTTTGGTTTGGTTTAGCGATTCGGTTAAGAGATTTGGTATAGGGTGGGTTTTGGTGTTTTTTTTTCCTGTGTTGCTCATTATCATCGTATACATGTTGTGAATCTATAAACTTTGTATATGTGAGATGAAATAAAAGCATCAGTGTAGCAAAAATGTCAATACGCGTTTATAAAGCATATGACAAATTACAAATTATAAAGCATATGGAATATGACAAATTACAAGAACCTTTCGGAGAAAAAAGAAGTTTGAAAAAAATAAAATAAAAAGAACTTTCAAATCTAAGTTACGTTATTTAACGGCGTTTAGTAAGTGGTAGAAAAAAAGGAAACGCCGTTAATTGGGCAATGGACGTTGGAGTATATTGTGGATAAAAATGAAAAAAAAAAGTAATTTCAAGAGAGTTGGAAAAAAAAACAAAGATATTTAGCCGTCACAATTTTTTTTTTACGTCTTTCACGCGCTTTGGTTTCGTTAGGAACTGACCATAATAACCGATCGATATTACATCACCCGCTGCACGCGCGATGTCTGCGCGTGGAATTTGTAAGCACTATTAACTTCATTCTCTTGCCGCGCGTGTATTAGACTATCTGGGCTTTGTATTTCGATTATTGGCCCCAAAATCCTTTAATGGGCCTTGGTCACTATTGTTGAATTTTATCCGAAACTAGATAAATCTACGCGAATATATGTAGATGATTTTATTTTTTCTCATAATATTTCACACCTGAATAAGGTGGAGATCATATATTAGTTATCTGAATATTTTAAAATTGGATTTCAAAGAAATCTAGACATCCCACTCCTTTAGAAGAAGGTTGTGGGGAACTCTAATTATCTTAAGCATCGAACTTGGTTAAAAAGAGAGAGAGAGAGAGAGGAGTGTCGTATATATTTCACGTCCTTGAATTGAATGTTGGGATTTCAATCACCAAAATCGGGATTACCATGTTTACTATTTCCTCGTTCAATAAAACAGATATATACCAATCGCTAAACAATATATTTAAATGCCCCCATATATATATATATATACACATACACACACACACGCAAGTAGATGCATATATAAAGGGGCAAAGAAAGAGGTTCATGCACTTAACAACAAAGGCTTCGTGCATCAAACCCACTAAATTCCGAACTGCCCGTCTCTCATGGGATTTGTCTTTGCACCCAAATCCGAGAAATATATATATTTGTTACTAAATTTTCGGAACTTGCGATAAAAAAGGATGATTATGCCGTCATTTAGAAAAGATACATATTTGTATACACAAACACACACATTCACAGCAATAAAAAAATCTTGTGTACATTTGTAAGGAAATGGAGTCTTGTCAGATTACTAAATCGTTGTAATATAGTTCTGAAAACATGGTCCAAGACACTTATTGTCGCTTTAACTTTATTACTGGGTAAAATTTTCTGCATTTTGTACAGTGCATTGTCTCTTGTGCTTTTTTTTTTAACCATTTGTATGTGGATAGATTAGAAACAGAGAAAGGAGAAAAAGGAAATTAAATTTTCACTGTTAATGTCTCAACTTTTACAAATCTCACCGACCAAAAATAAAGACCCCTCATTTAGTTCCTTTCCGTCTTCCCATCCACTCTGACCGGGAAAAGTGCATCTTCGTTCTTTACCTTATATGACCCCCAAGGCCCAAACCCCACCCTTTCATTTCCCCTCTACTTCTCTCGTTTCATTCATTACAAAATAATATAACCCCCCCCCCCCCTCACTC